TGTAACCCAAAAATCAAATACACCTGAATGCCTACCGAACGATCCTCAAGATCTTCACTTCACAACTTTTTGAGCCGATGGTCTACGGAGCTGAAAAACAATAGCGACCTTTCTTATATTCTTAAGAACGTGTTTGCCAATTTTCAAAGCAATCGGACGTTTATAAACAGCTATTGTTATTGTGTAAATTTGTGCACAACAAAAATTATGTGAGTGCAAAGTAGTCTTTAATTTCTACGTTCCATTTCTTTCAATTAATTCTGAGCATTGCCCTTTTTTAGTAAAAAATTGTTTAAATAACGTATAAACTGTTTAAACAATGAAAATCTAATTTGGGTATAAATTAATCTTTAATTCATAGTTTTTGATTCAACAAATAAAATTTCAATTGGGAAAAGTGGGGTGCTAACTTGGTTTCAAGTTCAAGTTAGCACCCCCACTTTAAAAATCCGTTTTCCGGCGGAACTAAGTGGGTACAAATTCTAACTTTGTGGGTACAAATTACTTTTTAATTAGTCGTAAATTATGGACATTTTTTACTTGATTATGTGCAAAGTGGAGGTGCCGACCTATCTATTTGCATATTTTGAAATCATGTTTTGTTTCTTGGTATAAAGTGGCCCCTCAAAAATCTGTGCATTATTTATATACTTTAAAGCTCATTTCATCCGTACCAATCCGAAAATATTTTACCTCGCGCTTGGAACAAAAGCTTAAGTTAATGTGCTTTTATAATTTGAAATGCCCTTTGTTTTGGTTTGAGGTTTCTAATCAATACACGTTCACCGCAGAACGTTAGTAATCACGTTCCGTTAATGCAGACGCATGCAATTTAAACACGAATTGAATAATTCGGTAAAAATCAACAGACTGCGGTCATTTGCAGTGTTTGCCGAGCGGGATTAAAAAATTGATTACTGCGAAATTACGTAAACCCTCTCGGGCATAAAATCCCTCATCAAGTTACTGAGCTTTCGAAAAAGAGAAGCTTTCCCAGTTTTATATGCCTTACTCATTATTGAAAGTAGATCTGCTTTTAAAATTGCGCGATACCACGTACTCTTCTCATACAATGTTTTATTTATAAATAGCATCAAGTTTGATGTCCTTACATACGAAAAATTTCTATAAGATAGGGACAATCGTTCCATCTAGACATGCTATGAATTTAAATAAGCTGACCAAATCTTGTTTTATGTTTTCTACATCAAAAACCTTTTTATTTTGTAAATCACATCCATTCTACCACCGCTGAATATTCTAGCACCGGTCCGCCGCTTTCGCTCTTAAAATTAGCCGAAAGAATTGTCTTACTGGTCTAGGTGACCGTTTCCCGGTGCTAAAAATACATCGTTACGTAATGCTAATGCCTCGGTGCAGAAGATATTTAACCATTAAAATAGTATAACGGAATGCGGATTCCTACGGCTGGAGTGGTATTAATAAAAAAAAACGTGGGCGAAAGGAAACAAAATTAGTCGAAACGGTTTAAAAACGCACACCTGCTTGCGTGTAGGGGTGAGAACGCCCGTTGGTCTCTTCATATGTGGTATTTCGATACTTCAATACAAAATCATTGTGAACTTTTTAAATGAGAATTCTGTCAAAAACATTACCATTGTGATATTAATGCAGAACTCGTCAAATACTCAACTTTAATAACAATCGTCCGAAAATTAAAATAGGAGGGTAGGTAGTGAACGTTATTGTTTCGTGTCTACGTTGAAATTGAATTTTTAATTTTAACAACTACCCTTGTTTCGCCGTGATTAAAATTTTCCTATCGTGGAAAACGTTTCAAATGTGTTCGCGCTTGATGTGCGACTCTTGCTACCCCTTACGTGTACTTTCATTGAAGTGTGGCCTTATCACATCAATCGCTTATGATCTGCCCGTCATTTCATGTTACCGCTAAGATCCTTTAAAGTCGTCGACAAAGATTTTGCCTAGGATGTTGCTAACTTTCTAATATTTTCGGCGGATGAAATCTTAGTCTTTACATATACAGTAATATTAATTTAGAAGTAGACATAGAGGGATTTCCTAAATGACAAAAACTCTACTGAAAGAGGCCTAAATCCTAATTTTATGCGACGAAATAACTTCTTAAAACAAATGAAGATTTTGCTATCATATTAATTAGGTAATTAGAATATTAGTGCTTGGCTTCCGTATTTTTATTTTCGTTCGCTTGCGATGTATTCAACTGAAGAAAAAGTTGATATTGTGATTGGTATACCTACTGCCGGTAATAGTTTAAGGAGCGTAAGAGACTTATTTTCTGTGTTGATCACTTTAAAGTGAGTGGTGATTTAAATGGGATCCACCCTCAATTTTAACGAAGGATATGAAACAGAATGTTTTAATTTTTGTGGAAGAGAATTCCATTAGAAACTTAAGGGAAATACCGGCCGAATTTAATATCTCTTCATCATAACCTAAAAGCATACTATTTACTATCATTTTTATTAAAATCTAGAATGACAATGCAAAATACGTGCACATGTTATTTCGGTTGCATAAAATTAGGCGTCTTTCAGAAGGATTTTTGTCATTTAAAAATAGACACAGGAAATCCCTATGTCTACTTCTAAATGAATAGCACTGTATATCAATTCTGTTGGTCTTGATGTGAATTACTCTGAAAAGGATCAAATTTTTGGCAGGGTTAGAACCTCTAATTGCTGGTAGTAACATTTCTCAAGACTCAAACTACTGGCGAATTTAATAAAAGCAGAAGTTCAAGAAGAAAACGAACAACTGTAAATCCAGTTTCCATAGAAGACTTGGCTGCAACAAGCTTAGAAAGAAGTTCAAAGGGCGCAAGAATCAACACCGAAAGTACTGAACGAGATTCCTTCGTGGGAGTTGGTGGTCGCAATTAAATTGTATAAAAAGCACACGAGGAATATTTATTGCTAACAATTCTCTTAAAATATGGTTGGGAATTTATTTAGTGGTTCGGTAATTTTAACAAACCAATTGATTGGGACGAGAGTGCTTTCCTGGCTCCCTTTCATACCTGAATTGGCAAATACGACTCATGGTATTAGGAAACCCTCGCTGGCTTATCAGCTCTTCACTCTGCATATTTTGATGGGTATTCAGTACTTTGTAATATTTGGTATTCTTCTTGATCGTTCCTGTCCTTTTTGTGACACAGAAATATTGGTCAAATCAGAATTTATGGTATCGATCGGTGGCCCTGATTATTGCTAAATTTCGCAATTCACTTTTTCCGTATCTGTTAATTTATCAACATATATTATTGATAGTTAGCGCAGTGTTCATTGGTGGTACAAGGCCGTGCTCTCATTTCAGTTATGGTTTATTAACATTTAATCATGAGATGCATCACTAAAAAATGTCCAATAACCGGGTTCCAAGCAGGTTGATCAAGATCTCATTTGGAATTAATTCAAAAAGAATGAGGGTAACTAATTGAACATTACTATATTTATTGTAATAAAAACTGCCTGAAACTTCAACATTGAAAAGACTTGAGTTGTTTTGAACCCAGCCCACAACCACATCATTTGTTACAATATCTCACGCTACCCAACTTATAACTTATAACGAGAGAACTATGGAAATTTATTATCACTCCTTATATTTGAAGAATTCCTACCCAAGCATTTCTAAAATAGTCTCAGTCGATCCCATTATACGAATTCTCTATGAAACGCAACTAAATTTATAATTTATTTTTAATAAAACTGAGCGTAAATGTCTTGGCGTTTTACGGGATAATCAATGCAAACATTTCACAAATTCCTACGTAATCATCCCTAAAATGGTCTTGGGCGACATCATTATACCCTCTCCATGAAAGGCAACTAAGTTGGAAAGTTATTTTTTAGAGTGAGCATAAATTAAGAACTTTATTAGCATTGTTGAGGGATCGTAAGTGTCAATTTATAATCAATTCCAATACCTTATAAATTCCTATTATATAAGCATGGTCTCGCTCAATCCTATTACGTTCCCTAGTTCCTGCGATGTTAATTTGAGGCTTGTTGCTAAATTCACACAAAAAAATAGAATCGCCCAAAGTTAATCAATGAGTTCTTTGTTAAAGTAGTATAACATTTATAGGCTTCTAAATGTACTTTTATTATTTCAAAAGTCTGTATTCTGAAGCCAGGCCGACATTATATTAATTCACCTTCTTGATTCAGGTACATTTTTATTGGTGTAGCGATTTGTTTCTATATACCTTTTCCGGGAATAAAAAGCATTTGTAAGGAAATATATTAAAAGTGCTTTCAAAAGTTTTAGAAATGGAAATAAAAATGTGCCTTTCCCTTGAACGCTTCAAAAGGCATATTCGGAAATTTCTCTGTAGCACTTTTCGATATTACATTTATAAATTCTTCCTTCACAAATGGTTCGAATTTAGTAAATCTCAATTACGTCGAATTACCCAGTGGGCATATAAAAGGCTATTATCCTAACATGACGTTTCGTATAAACATTCATTAAAATGAAAATCTAACGGCGGTAAAATTTGTAGCTTTCACCTAATTATCTCGTTATTGTCGTACTTTTATTTGGTAAGGGTGCCGGAAGGACTCGCTGAATATAAATCGGCGTATCCCGTTCAGATAGCCTCGGGATTAGCAGCTTCCTACCATCAGTACACGGTAATCTGGTTTATGAGAGGATAAAAGCGTTATTATGTATTATACGTACGTCGCAGTTTTAAAAATTGTATTGTTTGTCTTTAAATACTGCAATACAATGGGTCCGTTTTGCTCTCTTTAACGCGAATGTAACTGTACTTAATGGACAGCTAAGATCTCTTTCTTCTCTTCTTAATTAATTAGTTTCGTTTCTAAATCCTTTCGCGGATGTTTTGCTTTACTGCAATAAGTGAGATTAATTTTAACTTCCGAAAATACCAATCTAAAATTTGAACGAAAGTAACCACAATGTCGTGCATGTGACAGCTTTAATTAAACTGTCGTCGATCGAATGTTAACGAAATGTACTTGTTTCAGAAGCGACGCCTTTTTGGAACCGTATCTACAAGGTCTTGGAGATCGCCAGAGTCCGGGGGTCGGAGCGCCGTCTCCTTCGCCTCCCTTTGCGTGCAGAATAGCGCCATGTCTTTTACCGACGCCCGCGTCTAGATCGCCATCGAGAGAATCCCTGATTTCGTCGAACGGAGGCTCGGATGCGGGTAGCGAAGACAGCACAGATACAGGTGAATATCTTTAACAACTATTAGATTTTATTAACATTCGTGACATGTTACACTGCTTGACATTACGTATATGGTACATTGTTTAATAGGACTACTGTTTCTTCTTTTTTTTTATTACTTTTCTGATCTATTTATTCACAGCTTGGCTTCGTCAAAAGTTTTTTCGATTATGGCTGTAGTCATTATTTTTTTGTTGTAACTCATACTCTTTCACTGCATGTCTGTTGTAGTAGTTCTTATATTTATTTTTTATCTGTTTGCCTTTCCAGGTTCTCTCTCTCAAAGTTTACATAATATGGTATAGGATGCTCGTGGTATTTCCCCGAATAGGTCGCTCCCAAAACGCGACCCATGTAAATTCGCCTTTGTAAGATCCCCACCTAGTTATTTCACCTTCGGGATACCCTGCAAAGATCTTTTTTCACCGAAATACTCGTATGTCAAAAGATTACAAAAACTCCTGTTTTGAGGACCCAAAATTGTTTTCATTTTCTCTTCATGCTCTTTATTGTTTTACGTGTTACTTACTTTTACTGGATTTTACTGTTATTGGATTTTCACATGAAAACGAAAAGACTTTTTTTGTGGTCTGTTGTTGGTTTTCTAAGCAAATTTGTTAGTGATGGAATGGCGATTGTAAATTTGCATACAACCAATATGCGATGTGTTTGTACCGGGCGATCAAAAATGAGTTGCTGTCGAGTCGCCTTTGGAAGTTCAAGTTAAATACGATTTCCCATGTAAACAAAAGTTCCAAAGGTGACTCGACAGCAACTCATTTTTGATCGCACAGTACTAGAAGAATGTTTGGTTAAAGTTTCAAAAAAAGAAAGAAAGTTGACATTGCGCAGTCTGCGTATGCGCACATTAATGATCAAGATTTTTCTTGGTTGAGGTATCATCACACCTATAACCTACCGAATGTAAAAAGAAGAACGGATAAAGTGGTCATAATAGTGCCTTGCCTTCCAACATTAGTCCACTCATTCCATGCCAAAAAACGGCCAATAGAAAAAAGAATTCGTGTAGCTCTAATTTTTTTCGGGAATATGTGGTTGAAGGTCCCCTGATGATTGTGTAATAAAGTCCCGAGAGATTTCGGTGCCGCCGGAGGGTGGGGAGGCGATTGGAGGTTCGATTTTCAGTTTTTTGACTATATCCCGATAGCGGGGAGTCGTAGGAAAAAATGTTCTCATCAAAATCGAAAGCTCATACAGTTTTCTACAACTTTGTTTGTATACAGTTTTTACAAAAACGCATTGTTTTCCAATCACGGGGTCTTGAAGTTGAGCAATCTTCAAAAACTCTCGTTTTCGGTGGACTTTCCTCTTTCCTCAACAATTTGAACGTAGAAGTTGATGGTTGTAGATAATTCAATTTTTCTTCAAGAATCATTGACATGTGTGGTGTTTATGCTTCGATAGTTCGATTTTACTTACAACAAAATGTGAAATTTCGTAAGCGAAGGTAATGTCCAATTCCTCTCCATGGGGATCGTCTACGTCCTCTTCATCTTCTGCTAGGATTGGTGTGTGTTAAAACAACTCCTTTGGCTCTTGGCACATGCAATGATGTAAAATATGCCAGCCTTGTTGCACCAAGAGTTAGCCCTGCAGTTGGTAGTGGAACAACGGCAAAAAATGGCGAGTAAAGTTCAGCAGTGACTGGAAACTGGAGAAAAGTCCTTTTTTGCCGTTGTTCTACTGCCAACTGCAGAGCTAGCTGTGGGTGGGCTGGCATATTTTGCACCATTACCTGTGCCAATACTGCCGAGGGAGCTATTTTAACTCACCCCCAATCCTAGCAAAAGAGGATATAGACGATCCTCATGGAGAGGAATTGTACGCATATCTGAATTGGACATTACCTTCGCTCACAAAATTTTACTTCAGTTTTGTTATAGGTAAAGTCTAACTGTCGAAGCACAAATACCACACATTTCAATGATTCTTCAACTAAATTTAATTCCCTACAACCATCCCCACTGGCAATGAGCTAGAGGAAAAGTTGGACCGAAAAAGTGAGTTTTTTGAAAATCGTTCACCTTCAAGAGCCCGTAGCTAGAAAACGTTGAGATTTTTGGAAAAAATGTATAGAAACAAAATTGTAGAATGTTATGAGCTTTCGAATTTGGTAAGACATTTTTTTCGTACGACCACCCGTTTTTGGAATATAGCTGAAAAACTGTACCTTAAACTCTTGCCCCACCCTCCGGGGCACCAAAATTGCTCGGGACATTATTACACAATCATCAGGGGATCTTCAACCACACATTGCCGAAAAAATTAGAACTACACGAATTATTTTTTCTATATTTCCTAGAATGACTGGACTACATTAGTTGGAAAATGCCCTAAATAATACACAATACCGTTCCACCAATTTATAATGATTGATTACTATTTTAGGGCATTTCTCAACAGGAAAATGAACGTTATTCTCCGCACTTTATCTGTCTGTCTGTTTGTAGGTTTTTCGTTGTGGTTTCTTTCTAATGCGGTGTAGTACAGCCCCAAGATCATCAGAACGACAAAGATTTTTTGGACTTGTCACTTCCTTCCCGAGTTATTACTGATTCTGTGCGGGGAAAATGCGCTTTCTCGGGTCGCGAGTGACCAAATCTATACTATTTTAAATTTCATTTACATTTATACCCGTACTTGGTACTAAAATTACGTTCTTTGGACAGTCGGCATCATTGCTTGTTATTTTTCTTCTGTTGTATTTCTCGCACACTTTTATTATTTTTGCTTCTTTTACTAAAGCACTTCCTTGTACAACGGGTGCAGCTTACCCTCACTTACTCGCCAAGCGCCATTCCGATTTTCATTTAATCTTGTGTGTGGAACCGCTATATTTGCTTATTTCCAAATCCAGGTTATCCATAAGGAGTATTTTCTTTTGTAGCGCCATAAAATAAATTATGGTTTGTATCATTGATCCAGATCCATAATTGGTCTCTTGATCTTCAGTTTACTTAAAGGGGCAGTATACCCAAATTTCATGTTTTCGTCTAAAGATAGATTAAAAATATCTAAGAGTAACGGTGAAAACCGCAAGTCGCTACGCCGTTTCGTTATTAAATGGTGAGGTGTCGAATTTAAAAAACGGTCGTTGTGACGTCATCCCGACAAATGGGTCGGTGGCGCGCTATAGCAATATATGGATTCGATGACATTTGACGTGTTAATTTGAGACTGGCAGTCAGTGATCTGCATTATTTTCAAAAATACCTAACTTTGTGTTTTCCGCTGCAACAATAATTTGAAAAATGCCAATGTTACATTGCAAATTTTCCCCGAGAAAAGAAGGAGCCGTGTTGAAATAAAGTCTGGAAAAGTAGAAAAACCGCTGAATCATAGTATAGTCACGTTGTTTGCAGTGTCCACTTTAAAGATGATAATTTTTTTTGGAAGATACAAGAAGGAAAGGGCCCTGTACATCAGCATAAAGTTTTGAGAAGGCTAACAATACTGCAATCCCTTCTTTACATCTCACAGGAAACAAAGGTCCTAATAAAGCTACAAACGTCAGTTAACTTATCTAAGAAAGTATAATTGTGTCCGATTGCTTATTGTGGGTAAACGATCAACTTCGTAGTGGAGAATCCAGTTCAACATCAAACATATGCCACAATCAAACAGAAGAACTGAATCAAATGGAACCGATACCGCTTACTGAAAGCATAGGTATCCAATCTGAGCTGGGTACAGAAATTTATTACAAATATTCAAATTTATATGAGGATATATGTTCGGATGATATTTCAGTAAGGTTTTCTTGTTTTTTTCAAAGGAAAGCGAAATAGAATATGAAAGAACTGACGCGTTCGGACTGCTTGGATCCGTGCCGCCGCACCCACGATGTCGGGATGACGTCACATGTTCTGTCTTTCAAACTTTCATCGTTAATACTTTGAAAACTACTCATCGTAGAAAACTCCGGTTTGAAATTTTGTTCTTAGATTTTCTTCTACAATTTTTTTGATTTTGGGTATACTATTCCTTTAATGCATATTTTTATCCCGTGGTCTTCCTCGCCTCTACCTGTAGCCCACCTGCTTAATTTTATCGCCTTTCTCGTATTTATCGCTTGCAATCAATGCCGTTTAAACCACTTCAAATTTTCGGCGAGATTACCTTCGAATGGCACGAGTGGGGGCAATATTTATCAATAATTTTGTTTATCGATTTTTAGATAATATCCACAGGACTACGCCATGTTTTTAACACATTGACACAACTGTATTAGTGTTATTAAGCTTTACAAATTACATACAGGCATTTATTAGAGCCACGTTTTTATTTCTGCATGCAATGTTGTAGCTTTACATTATTTTTTCATGGTCTCTATTGAAAATAAGTATATGGAGCGAGGTATATTTTTCCAGGTTACGGTGCTGCGTGTGATATTGGTCTTGTTGAGCGTTTAATTCGTTCCCACCCCATATGGTTTCTGCCTGGTATACAACGAGCTGGAGCATTTCACCTTCTACAAGGAAAAGAAGAAGGTTGCTTTGTCGTTCGGCAGTCATCGCAACCTGATACTATGGCACTATCCGTTCGTCTTCCGCCGGATAAAGGACCTTACATCGAGCATTATTTGATACAATCGTCAGGAGGACGATTGGGCTTGGAAACGAGCGAAAATCGTTTCGATAATATGCCAGCACTAATTGCTCACTACGCTAATTGTTGTGATGAACTTCCAGTACAATTGTCTCTGCCCAAAGCCATTAGGGAAGCACGCAGTCGGCAGCAGTTGTCTTCCCTCGCTCTTCTTGGTCAGGAATTTTGGAGGTATAGTCCTCCTCCGTCGACAGCTTCCAGTCCTGACGCCGACTTAATCCTCAATCTCAATCCACTAATGAGCACGTTTAAGCGCGCCGAGCCTTCCACTCCCACCACCACCGAATCTAACCGACCAACTCGTCCCAACACGTTAAACCTTTTAAATAAGATAGACACCATTAAAAGTGACACAAAATCAAACGAACTATTAAAAAGCACGGCATCGTTACATAAAAGTGATTCAACCTCAAAAGTTCCTCCACCACCTCCACCAAGATGGTCGAAACCAACGACACCTCAAAATAATTTTACAGTAACCACAACCGTAACATTTAGCGTTAAGCCCGAGAGTCCCCGAAATGAATTTCCCTCGCAAATGGAAGTGATATGTGATCCCAAGAGGATGTCGCCCGAAGGCCAGTGCAACTCGACAATGTCGTCCACCGACAACAGTCTAAGACGAGGTCCCGATCACAATATGTCACCGAACGAATCCGTACTTTCGCCAAATTCGGATCCTAGCAGTTTATTATCGCCGGATACCTTATCACCGCTTTCCGTAACGAAAACCGCGAGGCACAGCAGGAGAACTAAGCATAAAATTTCTAAGCACTATCAAGAGTCAGACATTTTAGATTCGCCTACAGTCTATTACAGAAGTGCAGTCGGAGATAAAATAAGTGATTATGAAGATTTATGGACAAACGAGCAGCACTCGAGCTTCAAGCCTAAAAATAATAATCTCGCATCTCCCGATCTCCTGCAACACACCCAGAACGTCTTATCATTAAATAATAACGTTCTTAGTCCTAGTGATTCCCAAACTGGCTCGCAGCGTAGTCACTGCAGCACCCCAATTACAAATCAAGCCACCTCCAATCACAATTTCTCACAGAATTCCGTTCAATCCCCGACCGGCGGCGTCGATTCGCCAAAGACGCCTGGGATTTTAGATCCTGCAAGTAATAATTCACCAAAACAAAGCAGTCCGTTTTACGCCGAACCCGCGGATTCTCTCGCTCCGGTCGTAGCTCCTAGACGTTTACTGGGAAGGAATTTAGTCCCCATGCAGCAAAGGCATTCCAATCCTCCGGCTTTGCATTTGCATTCCGCCTTAAGTTCGGGTCTGGAAAGGATAGAGTCGCCCGAATTCACCACCGGTAAGTTTGTTAAGTTTCCACCTTAAAGGTTTAAGCTTTGATCTTATTCAACGTAGGGACGATATCGTCGTCGGTCGACAATTTGAGCCCCAAACAAAAGCTGTCGGCACTTAAGAAGCCCGAAGTCAAAGCGGTGCAGCCTCCCTTAGTTAAACCACGTGTTAATGATACTTGGCAGATAGATAATAGCTGGAAATTTATGGGTGAGTATTTGTTTCTCTTTCACGTATAATGATACGTCTCGATGAGATTGGTAATTGTGTATTTCGGGAGCTCATTTCTTAGTGTTGGTGTATATAAATAGCGCAGGGGTTTTTACAACATATATGAGTTTCAATTTAACTGTTCGCTGCTACTACCTACATCTAACTATCCTTTTCCCTAGATTATGAATTAGTTTCCAAACTATGCGCTCTGTGTAAATTTAAACCTGGAAGTTTGTAGGAAATGGGCTTCTCTGTATTCAAAATATTTGCTTACGTTATTTTTTATTTTAAAGCCATCAATTTTTGCAAGTAAATGCGCTCGGTCTTAAAATTATTAGATTTGTTACTGCTTTGCTAAAATTACTGTGCGTTTATTTTACAAATATACATTGGGATCCAGAGACCACCTCGAAGACCACACAATTTGCAGGTTATTGTTAAATTTATTATTTATTACAGTTTTTTTAAAGATCTGCCACAAGTGTTTCAAATGCGCGATTGTCACGACGAAATTTATAAATGTTAGTCACGCTTTTGTGCCTATATAGTTGGTGGGGTAGATGTAGTATTTTTGGGTCCTTTTTCTGGTACCTTGCCTTTTGGATTTCGCACAAGTACCTATAACGGAAGGGTGAAGTATATTTGTTTCGGGGATCTCGTTCCGGTACATTTACCACTAAAGACTCGCCGTGAAACTTTCGCTCACGGAGAGCTGATGATGGTTTTCGGAATATGGGTTCCTGGATAATTCACTTTCTAATATTCGTACCCGTATAATATTCTTTTCCGACCGATTCCTCCCTTCCCTGGGAGAGTCGAGGGTATACGTTTCCGGGAAATTTGTACCGACGCGACGGGAATGTTGGCTGATCGAGAATGGGGTAAAGACTGTTTTCGCATTATTTAAAAACCGTTTTCTTGCCCTAAGACATTGATTTGTGGCCAGTTCTTCTTGTTCAGTTTTGAAGGTTTCGATTTCTCGTTTTTCGATCTAGGTACTTTGAAGGCAAGGATATATTATACACTTTGATTTATTCAGATATCGTCTTTTGCTTGATCTTTCGATGTAATTGCCAAATTGAACTAAAATCTGTTAATAAAATTGGTTTTTCGTTTTCAAATCCTTTTATAAGTCCATGATCAATTTTGAAGACAATACTTAGATACTGGTTTTTTAAAAGATCGATTTTGGGTTATACCTTTGGTGTAGTTATTGGAACGCGATAATTTTCACTGTTGTTGATTATAAGACCTTCATGAGCATAAAAAATATGAAATATTTTTTTATTTATTTAATTTGTGTGCCTCGACTACTAGTGGCCATTGGCACGTCTACAAGTACCTTTACTTACAATGCACGTATTCTAATAATATTTCGCTTATTAGACTATTATATAAAATTGTACAAGTTTGTATCTCTTAGAAAGTTTAGTACGTTTATAATACTTTTCGGTAATGGGAGGTCTTTTTTAAGGTCCATTCCAATATGGTATTTGCTTCGGATTTCCAATTGCAGTGGACACTGTGAGAGGAAGTGGTTCACGGACAAAGGCTCCTTGCATTCACAATATGGAGGGTCTTGATTTTCAAAAAGGTATCCATGGGTTTTCCTTGTGTGACCAATCCTCAACCTTCGAATTATGACTGTATTCTTCCTATGCATTGAGGGTAGATTAGTGGTCATTATTGTAGGCTGAATTTCGGATAACTTGGTGTTGGAAAAGCTCCAAGCATTTTGCCACTTACTGATGATTGACTCTCTTAGGCAGCTCTGCAGGTCAGTATGTAGCTGCATTTGTTCAGTAGTCAGGTCCATGTTTAGGGATTCTTTTGCAGCCCGATCAGCTCTTTCGTTTCCACTTATGCCAACGTGGGAGGGTGACCAGACAATATTTACTAAAACGTTTCTGGCAGCAAGCTGATGATAGTGGTCGTGTACTTTTTGTGCTAAGAAATTTTTAGTATATATGTTTTCTATGGAAGGAATTGCTGAAAGAGAATCAGTACATACAGTGACGATTTTACTGATTTTCCCGCAACCATTGCTTAATGTAGCAAATCAATTTGGGCAATAGAAACTTAATATTCAATGGCTTTCTGTTGAATAGATGTTCTAAACTACTATAGGGCAGTCATATCTATAACTAGAAATCGCTTAAATTTCAAACTAACGGCTTTAGCTCTGATTTTTTCATATGTTTTTAGGACCACTCCTGTTAAAAAACTATCACTCTGAGGAACGGGGCCGCTAATTTGGTGTACCTACACGCTGATATACGTAGTTTCTTCAACAAGAAATCAAAACGCAACTTGTATTTTTATTTTACAATCTTGTTATTATTATGTAACCATACCAACACGAACTATATTATTTTTCTTACCAAGCCATCTCTAACATACTCCCCCCCGTTTACGGAAATTACAAATTTTCGGAAACAATACAAGAAGAATAGAAAATACAAAATCTTAAAATTATTTCTTCGCTTTAACCATTGAATACTTTAACTAAACTACTAATTATCTACATCTTAACTACTAGGCTTACCACCCTGACTTACAGAATCAGCTATTACTTTATCAAAAGTTGATTTTGATATTTCTAGTGAATATAATTTTTGGATTGGTCTCTTTACTATCCCATTTTTTGTTTTTAAAATGAAAACACGATTAATCCCATCACGTCCCGGGATTGCACTCAATATGCGCGCAAGCGGCCACTCCAAACGTTTTTTCATTTTGTCGTCGATCATTACAAGATCTCCAACTTTCAAATCACAGACCTTTTGTTTTTGATTTCTAATAGTCAATTTGCCTAAGTATTCTGACCGAAAACGCGCTCGTAAATCATTGCAAATATGTTGCCTATGTTTAAATTTTTTATTAAGTTTTTCTGTATAAAGCATATCGCAATCCGGTACGCCTATCTCTTTTGTGTCGTGGAGAAACATGGAAGGTGTTAAGGGTTTTAAATCGTCAGGATTTTCTGATACATATGTTAAAGGTCTATCATTTATAATTGCCTCCGCATCGCATAGTACTGTCACCATGCTTTCGTACGATAGACACGCTTTTCCCAAAACCTTTCGTAAACATGATTTTAAAATTCCTACCAACCTTTCCCACCACCCTCCCCACCAGGGCGCGGAAGGTGGATTAAAGATCCACTCTATTCTTTGTACCGGTCTAATCGGAGTCGTACTACCTGGTTTCAGTACTGCACGATGCGGTAGATAATGACAATGTAAATCACCTTTGGAAAAGGGAACCTTTTCAATAATATTTTCGCTTAACCAATTGTCCAAAATTTCATCATATTCAAGAAAAATATTTTGGCCTTTCAGTTTTTTAACGTTAGATAATAACCGCTTGTACGCAATTTCGAAATTCGTAGGTAATGGTGGATGATTATCCACCCAAGGTAATCTAACCTCGTATCGACCATCCGAATTAAAATTAGCTGTTTCTAAAACATACATACGTGCCTTCATGTCTATTTCTGACCTTTCTACTGTTTCAATCGGATCTGTAATATCAAGTACATCTAATTGCCATAAGTCAGTTGGCGTAGCCGTTTCAATAAACATTGCATTTAAAAGTATCGCCGAATCTGAAATTTGCGATGTTGACGGTAATTTTCCCGTTACGGTCCACCCAAGCTTAGTTTTAAAATAAGTTAACCCATTGCTTAATTCGCATATCTTCCCTGTGAACAATTTCCCTATTACATCTGCCCCAATAAGAACTTCAATGGGAGTTGAATCACCGTCAATATCGCTGAGATGTATGCCCTTATTATCTAATTCCTTTAACAAGGGTTTACACTTTAATTGCGGGATTGATTCACAAATTACATCTTGACCTAATGCAATAAATTTGCAAGCAAAACGGTTATTTAAATCGCGCAACCTAATTAAAAACAGATCGTGGCTTCCTACCTTCGACCATTGACCACCGAAAAGGGAATGAATGACTTCTTGTTTGCCGTGGGATTCGTAGCCTAATTCTTCAGCTACAGATGAAAGTACATACGAGCGTTGGGAACCGGAGTCGAAAAGTACACGTATTACTCGTTCTCTGGTGTCGGAGTACAAAACAACTCTTGCAGTTGGTAAACAAATTTCTGGGCATCCCGAAAGTGTTGTCAAATTATTCTCCTTCGCAGTTTTTTGTGGTCGACGAGTATTGGTATCGCTTTCTCCATCTGAAACATGCACTTTTCTCGTGTTTATTTACCAGTTCGCACAAAAGAAGTGTATGTCGGCCTGAACACCAACTACAGCTTAACTTTACACGGCATGATCTCGAATTATGGCCATGCTTTAAACAGCGAAAACAACATTTCTCTCGCTTCACTATGTTTTTCCGCTCATCAAAGTTTAGTTTGCGAGCAACAGTACATTTGTTATTTTCGTGTTCGCCATTACAAAATATGCACGACAAATTGGATTTCGAAACAAACAGAGCGTTTGCAGTCGCAACATCACCTTGAACTTCATAGGTTTGCTTCCCTCGCAACTGCTTCCTTCCTTCTTGGTTCGCTGTAATGTTGAAGCCTGTCATTGCCATCTTAATAGTCTCCTGATCGCACACTTCTAGTTCCAGGAACGTCATCAATTGGGTCAGCTGGTCATGCGATTCAGTTGTTAAACCGTCTTTCCTACTGAACTGCTTCCATGCTCGTAGGACCTCTTCAGGAAGACAAGATTCAACCAAAGGATACAATAACGTAGCGTAGTCCTTTTTCATTACACCCAATGAATTGAGTGCCCGTAAATGCGATCCCAATTTGTCATATAAATCTGACAGTTTCGGTTTCCTTGTGTCAGACGCATTCTGAAGTACAAGGGCTAATAACTCTCGTACATAAAACTGTTTCACGAGGTCATCTCGTCCGAAACGGTTCTTCAAACTTTCTATCGCTTTTTCATAATTATCTCCCGTGGGAGGAAAACTGGTTACTATATTCTTGGCGCTAGATTTTTCGACTGTAGCCTGTAACAAGTATTGAAACTTCACTTCATTGCTTAAAGTCGGATCTTCGTGATACTTTTTGAATTGACTCCAAAAAGGAAGCCATTCCTTTACCGATCCCTCGAACTTCGGTATCTGTAATTTCGATAACGCTTTCTGTGTAAATGACGGAACGATTTCAGGAGATTGTGTTGCAGATGCAAGAAATTTATTCATTGCGATATTCGCGTCGATAAATTGTTTATGGTACGTATCATCTGATTCCAATTCAGCACTAATTTCATCTTCCGACATGTCACTCTGAAACAACTTTTTGTTATAATGTTCTTGACTGGTATATAATTCTTTCAGCCGTATTTCTAGTAATTGAAACGCGCTTTGCTTAACGTCCAAAGTGGTTTCCGTACAAACCGTCTCCATAAAGGTATTGAAAGCTCGAGTAAAAGCACCGCGGGCTACAGTACGTCGTTTTTTGAGTGGTTCAGTCATCTTCAACTTTTTGTTGTACACCACCTAAATTTACCCACTTGTCCTGTCACGGTCGCCACTTGTTAAAAAACTATCACTCTGAGGAACGGGGCCGCTAATTTGGTGTACCTACACGCTGATATACGTAGTTTCTTCAACAAGAAATCAAAACGCAACTTGTATTTTTATTTTACAATCTTGTTATTATTATGTAACCATACCAACACGAACTATATTATTTTTCTTACCAAGCCATCTCTAACAACTCCCTTATATCCAAGTTTGCAGCTTCGAAAAACCTGTGCTAACTTTGAAGCACTTGAAATTTTCGCACTATTTCTTGTTCTTTTCAATATAAGCCTCACACTTTACAGGGTGGCCCAACGAAAACGAAACAGACTGAATAACAAATAGTTTTTCAAACAAACACAAAAACACGTCGATTTGGGTTGGAAGGGGGACATCTTTTACTTCAAAATGTACACCCCTGCTGTCAACTCCATAAGAAGGGTTGCCGCCCCTTCAATAATTTTAAATTGAACGTTGAGTCGAGTGACACATCATTGGAAAGGGTTTTTAATTTTCTACACGCCTATGGTTTATTTTTCAAATTTGAGGGAATGGTTTGTAGGATACGGGGTGTTAAATGACATAGCATTCAAATAGATATTCAAGCTTTTACGTGAATGAACACGTTTATAAGAAATATTTGCTAGGTAGGTACACCAAACAATCCTGAAGAACGTAAACCATGAGAAATCACCATAATAAAATTCTAAAAAATTTAGACTCATAAGCTATCACTAGTTATAAACAATTAATGAATGATCTGATATGTCCGATGCCCATGTTTTGGATTAGGTTTTAGCTCGGTTTTTAGGTACTGATGGTTAAATACTGATACGCAATGGCAATTTATTTAAAATGCATCAATTTGCATGAAAATTTGGGATTAAGTTCAACTTGCCCTCCATTTCAAATGGGCATTTTTTATTTGTTAGGGGTGAAAACTACCTCTTTTAATTTTTTTATCTATTCCTGTGTTAAAATTACAATATAAAACCCCAGGGTGAAGGCGCCCTTTGGCATGATATAGAGTTTGATCCTTATATTATTATATTAGGCTATACCCTACCTACTATCAAAATTTCAAGTTACGCGATTCAATTTGAAAAAATCGCTAGTGAAAAATCTTTATTTCCCGCACTATCTCTTCTGAATATAACTTAAATATAATTTTGCGATTTCCTTTCTCCACAAATTCTAGATTTGAATGAGCCATGAAACAAACGCTGTTAGAATAATGACCACTAGTCTAGTAGCACTCCTTGCTTCATCTACCCCTGCAATCCATAGCTTTATGACCAACCGCCAGAGTTGCGAAAAAACAAGTCGTGCATGTTGCACCAGGACAACGCACCTACCCATAATGCGCTCTCTGTGACGCATTATTTAGCCGCTAGAGGCACTCCAGTGCTCGAACACGCGCCATAATTGACTGATTTAGCAACCTGCGACCTTTTCCTGTTTCCAAAGATCAAGTCTTAAAATCTGCTCCTTTCTAAACGCCTCTCACAAAAGAAGATTTCCAGCATTGCTTTCAGCAGTGGGAGAAAACGAATGGAACGGTGTGTAGCAAGGGAAGGGGGTATATTCAAGAGGAGCATTCGATCATAATTTTTCAAACAGAATAAGCAGTCTCGTTATTTAATAGCCTGACCTCGTATTTCTACTGCAATTAGGTACTACAGGGTGCCAGTAAGATAACCTTACCGTATCAATCTAGGATAGTAGCCAATTTTTGTATGACATTTTTTTTACGGTTGCAACGAAAGTATTTCGGTACTAGGTTGGAAAGGTCTCCGATGATAGATTTTTTGTGGCGAATCTGACGAATCACATTTTGCCACAAAAATCGCAGTGAACCGGTTAACGACAAAAATGTCAGGGGCGAAGCTTTCGATGGAGAATTTACCTACGGAGTTTTTTTAAGGGGCCATGGGGAACAAATTAATCCAGCGGAGACGAAAATTCGTCCGGGGAATCTACCAGGACAATGTTTCCTGAACGAACCCGGGATCGCATCTTCCCAGGAAAGTATTTCTGTGTTGAATTTATCTTACGAAGAGTTTTGTTATGAGCGAATTTTATTACAGAAACATGGGGGAACTTTTGAATAAAGCGCTTGGCTAGAGCGAGTCGAGTGTTTTGCTGTTAATCAAAAATTCGCTAAGCGACTTTTCGGAAGTAGTTTATCGTTCCTTCATTTCTCTCATTTTCAAATGTTAATTCCCATTTCGTCAAGAAAAAAAATCGATAAGCACGTGTTTACGTTTTCGATCTTCAATATTATAATCATTAGACTTGGAATCTGCTAATAATAAATTATTGGTTCAGATAGCATTGCTATTTTTGGCAGCTTTAAAAGTGTCAACATTTACATGTGCTTTTGTAAATAACAGTCATCATTTTCTTGTAATTCCATTGCTGGTACCACGGAATAGCTATTATCCATTGTATGTATACGACATTAATGCAATTACCTTACCCCATACAATGTGCAATAATTTTCCTTATCAAGTCACTTTGATTTACGGCGCTACTTCAGACGAAAGTGTAAACCATCCAGCCTAAGAAATTTATTAATGAGTATTGGTCTATAAATTACATTCACCTGCTTTATGCAAAATTGCGAACAGTTACCAACATATGTTAAATGTGCAGTTTCGAGATCATTTATATTGTGAAAGTTCATGCGTCTAGATATGCTTGACGCTGCGTGTGTTAAATTTACTACATACTAATTTTGTGCCTTTTTTTGGTATTCATCAGGTAGTGAATGTGATATAAATATGGAATCGAGCGACCCTGATTATGACTCAGATTGGCCTTGCGCTCCTCCACTCGTACCACTTTCTCCGTACACTCCAGATATAGACGATCAATTAACCGTTCAAGATATGATTGCTCAAAGGTAAACATCGTCTTACTTTACACGTTGTTAAACCAAAATCCGTTCCAGATTCCCCGACATTCGAACATCTACAGATATCACTCCCGACGAGGAGTTATGTAGGATGTCTTCTTATGACAATGTGGACGATCGAAGGGTGCCCAGAGCTCCGCCTTCCGAAATTAGTGAACTAACAGAGTTTTCCGACCCTTGGACCGAGGTTAGTCAAGGAATGTCAACAATTGAGGTATTTCAATTATATCGCATTGATAATAATGTCTAACCCATTTTTTTTAGACTGATGATACCCTATCTGAGAACTGCAATCCTCAACCGAGAGTTGCGTCGATTAATCGATCGAAGAGCTTTAAAGATCGACTAGATCCATTACTTTGTAAGTACTCCTTGTATAACAATACGGTTCAGCGTGAACTTTGGATTAAACAAATACGTTCCACAAAGTTGTGCATGTCAGTTCATTTTTAAACATCAATTAAATTGATTAACGTATCATTAGTATTGCTGCGATATTTCCTGCCACAACAAAAATGAAGCTTGGTCAAACGTTAAGACTGTGCAAGATAACTCTTATCAAATTTGGTCGATGCGTGCGTCAAAGTGTTATAAGATTTTTGCGGTTTTGTTCTCATTGTACGTCAGTTGCGAATCTTCCTCATTCTTCGTTTAGGAGTTACAAATAATGGGTGTTTTTAAATTTGCAGCTGCTCCTCGCTTGCAAGCGCTACGAAACAGGGAAAATGGGTGTAGGACGGTTGGAACGGCTATAAGACAGTATGCTTTGGATCTTGCCCAAGACAAGAGTACAACTTTTGCTCAAAACATAGACAATTTTATAGCTTGTACTTGCGAATCGAAAGAAGTTAATCCTCAGGTTGGTAAATAGTTTGCAAATATAGTTTACCAAATGCACTATTTACAGGTCGTCATGCGGAATATGAGGCAGTTTATGTCAGGAATGAAAAACTACCTGGTAAAGCACGGAGAAAAAGGTTTCGATAAGGAAGTGGAACGAGAACGAAATCATGTAAGTTTCACAATTTCACAAAGGTATTATTGTTATTCGATCCCATTTTAGTTGAGGAGCACCGAATTTTTAAACTTAGACGCAATTTTGGAAGGTGTTCTGCATCGACTAGTTGTCCGACCATTAAAGTGCCATCTTCAGAAACTATTTTTGGATCACTATACGAAAACTGGAGCCATTAGACTTTTAGCCGATAACATTCAATATGCAAGCACTCGACCGATCTCCGAATTAGCCATCAAAGTACTACTAACGGTATTTACTATTATCCGATTTTATACCTAAATCATTGCAGCCTAAAATCATGCTTCCATCAGAGAGTGCTCTTCAAACAATTTCTCACTATTTAATACGATTGCAAGCAGCCGATTCCCCACTGGAAAAACTGGAGTATCTCCTAGCGGCAATTGCTACTATTTTTAATTCGGTACGTGGTTCAAATACGTTTTGATCAAGCGTTGTTTATTGTGACCTTTAGGTGAAAACAAGTCAATTAACTGGATCTGGTCGATCCTTAACGTTAGGTGCTGATGATTTCTTGCCATTATTCGTTTGGGTCCTGGTGAAGACAAATTTCATTGCCGCTGAAATTGAAGCAGAGTATATGTGGGGTAGGTACTCGACAGCCATACATTTTCATAATCCAACTTTTTATTTTAGGTTTGCTTCATCCCTCGTTGTTATCGGGCGAAGGGGGCTACTACCTTACGACCCTATCGTCCGCTGTACATGTACTTAAAAACTTTAAGGAGAGTAGTGAAGAAAATAACAAAAATCACATAAAACCTGATGTAAATATTGGGCTATAAGATGTTTGCAGCATTTAAAGGTAGATTTAATTTTTAGCCTGTTTTAAAAGTGGTGGTTCCGGACGAGTTACACGGATCAATCTTAACAAAAACGTTGCCTGCTCGACCTCACATGACAACCAAAGAAGTTTGTAAAATCATTGCACATAAGGCTAGAATTACCAATCCTCAAGACTATGCTCTGTATAGGCTAGTGGATGGAGAAGGTAAGTCATTCTTTTTTTCACTTTCTAAAACGGACTAGTAACTATTGAGATGGAGAAACAGATTGAAATTTTTCCAAACGTTTGTTTGACCAGAGTTAGAGGGTAGATTAAAAAACCCATTACTTAGGTTTCTTGGTCTTTTTTCCTGATATCAAAATGTTATACCTATAGGTTCTCTGCAGCTAGAGGGAAACGAACTTTGAATTTTTTGTGCACCCCCCTCTGAATTAGTTCGAATTAACGTGAATCAATTTGAATTAACGCTAATTAAGTAGAATTATCGAGAATTAATGAGAATTAATTTGAATTCACGTGAAATAATTTGAATTAGTGTCAATTAATTTGAATACACGTGACTTAATCTAAATGAATGTGAATTTACACCATTTTGCAACAAAATGGCGGCTACTTTTATATGTTAAAAAGCTGCTCCTAATTTTAACCGTGTGAATTAATTTTAATTAATAATAAGCAGTTCAGTTGCAGCTGGACTGCGGTACTAAAGGTCTTTGGTTCGAATCCGGATTCGGGAATGGATATTTGTAAATATCGTGGCTACACAGTACTTTGATCACTTGAAATCTTTGAATAAGTGTATGAGTTTTTTTAAAAAGTCGTACTGTTTTGAATTTTTAATATTTTTGTTTTTTGTTTCTTTAATTTTTAGAATCGTGGAATCGCGCAATCGTGAATTTTTGGATCACGTGACTTCTGTAGTGCTCCGATTTTTTAATTGTTTAAATATTTGATATTTTAGTCAAGATACGTAATTGAAAATGGTTTAATTCATAGACACAAGCCATTAAATATAAACAAACCTAAGTATCAATAATTGGGTATTACCATTATTAAAACGTTATCTAAATTCATCTATGCGTCATACATTCCATCATTTGTAAACGAGTAATTCAACAATGAAATTATTTCAGGTATTATTTTTTAGTGTGCTAAATGCAACAAAATAAAACACTATAGCTCTTCTAGTATAAAAACAGTTACGTCGTCAATCATCTCAGATAGCCTCCCACTGCAAAACTGGTCCCCTGTGAGTTGTACAGAAATTATGCATTTGTATTTTCATCTCTATCTAGCCCATGCGAAGAAAACGACATAAGTTTTGCAGTGGGCGACCTGCAATTGTTTTTGTACTAGACGACGTATGGTAATGATTTAATAAACAGAAGTGTCTAGTAAGTTGTATTAGAGTTAGGGTCAGTTTAAACTTCACTTTATAGTTAAATTGTGAGTTAAAGGATTTGATTGGCTAATATTTTTGACCAATTATGTTTCTCAAATCTGTCAGTTAAACTAATCTGACATTCTACAACCGGACTTTAGTGGGAGTTATAAATGTAACGCGGGATAAAAGAGCAGAACAAATAATACACGTCCATGAATATTATAAATTAACAACACTATTAATTATAAACAAGTTGTAATAAAAACGGTTAAGAAAATTTGATATCCTAACAGGGTGGTACGTACTTAAAAAAGTATGATAGTACCCGATCTAAAAAGAAAAACTTGGTATAACTGTCGCCAGGAAAGATTGCCGGTCACAGCACACCTTGTGTCGATCTACAATCTATGTTGTTCTTAAGATGCGAGCAACTTCCGGAATAGGATCGTGCCAATGTTGAACGAAAAGTCTTTTCATTCAACATTGGCACGATCCTATCCCGGAAGTCGCTCACATCGTTAGAAAAACACAGATTGTAGACCGGGATCAGGTCTTCTGTGACCGGCAATCTTTCCCGGCGAGAGGTTTACCTAATTTTTATATTGCAAATAACTTATTAGGGAACGCTTTGTTTCCGCAGTGTGATATTTTTGTAACAAAATGAAATAGCAGTTCTCTATGAAAAGTTACGGGGGTGAAAGGGAATTGATAGCTATTCGCAATAATATAAAAAGTGACTACCCCATTCTGTGGGTAACAAAGCAAACCGACAGAGGATTAGACCGCCTAATCAAATTGTACGCCTCCTTTTAATACAAATAAATGTTTGTACTAATTTGCAACTCTGTATACTACTTTTATTAACTGGGTTTTTTTGTGAATCCTTTTTAACGCCACTTGTAAGTTAATTGAATATTTTTTTACAGAGACGATGTTAGCGGACAACGAGTGCCCCCAAGACTTCATGAACGGCGGAAGGCATGTGATGTTGGCATACAAACGAATAGAAGCGAAAATAGCTTGGCCAAAACAACAGTCGAACTAACCTAGTACTAGTCATTCACCTTCGGTTTGGCTGTTGAAACGTATTTACTAATATAATGTTATTTTTTCTACACTATAAATTTATATATATCACAGATATATTTCTGTATTTTATTTAATTAATAGTGTATCTTGTCATTTTATACATTTTTAAATTAATGTTTTTTATATAACATATGTGGCAAGGCTACATGTCAGAGATTTTATTTCCATTTGTGAAATGTTTTTTAACAAATTTTGTATTTATTAGCTAATTGTACTGAGTATTATTAAGATAGATTAATTATATTCTTAAATTGGTGTTATTTAATACCTTTACACTTTTAATTATAAGTGTTTGACATTACGAGTAATTACCTCATTTAATATGCCCAGTAGTTAATTGGTCTCGCACGCAAGTATGGACGACATTTCCTTGTGAGTGTTTGTGGCGGTCGGTGCTAAATGGAAACTTTTCCATCATTTTACAAAGATGACTTTCATATACCGACGATCGGAAAACAACCGAGAGGAAGCGCTAGAGCACAAGAAATTTACAAAAGATCATTGCTAAAGTCGTCTGATGGCCAAACACTGGACGATCACGACCAATTTTACAGAGATCACAAACTGCTTTTGAAGTTATTTCAGGTTACTCACCACGAAGAACTTTAAAGTGCTCTATTTTGACGTTTTTAGGTATTAGGTGCCATGCCAATTCAGAGAGGAGAAATTGGAAGGATTACTTTTGGCTGGTTTAGCGTTCCATCGATTTACGCTTATGGGGTTTATCTGGTCACCACTGTTCTTGTATTTTTTGTTGGATATGACCGATTGCTCATTTTAACCACTAAAAGCAAGAAATTTGACGAGTATATTTATTCGATCATATTTTTAATGTATCTGGTGCCTCATTTTTGGGTACCGTTTACCGGATGGAGTGTCGCTAAAGAAGTCGCCGATTATAAAAACAGTTGGGGACCGTTTCAGCTGGATTATTATAAAATTGCTGGTATATATTTATGCTATACTTTCGATTTTAATGGCTTTTAAAATATACAATTGAGTTTGAGTTGGCATTGAGCCATTGGCGAAAAAATAACGTAAGATGCATCTTTGAGTTATCACAGCCAATCAACGTACCAATGGGGGAATTTTTAGATCACTTGCCTATTAAAATTCATTTTAATCAATTATCAAAACTCAAACAGCCAAAATGAGAAAAACATGTGCCTGTAGTAGTATGTTTGTCAACTACATCTTCACTCAATACCCGCCGAAAATATTTGGGAAACAAATCCTATTATTTTGCAATGAAAAATAGGGATCATAAATCAAACAATTTACAAATGTGGGGTTCTAAAACCGGATTTCGACACAATATCTTCTTTTAATGCGTGCAAGTTGCTTTAATTATATTTTGCACTCTAATGAAACTTATTTTCAGGAAAAAATCTGGAGTTTCCACATCTAAATATACTAATTGTAATAACAAGCAGCGGTTGTTTAATATTAGCGGTGGTATTTCTATTAACGTTATCCGCGCTGATGGAAGGCTTTACATTGTATCATACCATTGCCTATTACCACATCATAACAACCTTAAATATGAACGCTGCGTTATGGTTTATAAATTGTCGGGCAATTGGCGATGCTAGTAGAGGTGTCGCAAGCAGTTTTGAAAAGGTAGGGGGCGAACAGTGGCTTCATTTCATGTCATTATTTCGTTTTACTTTAAGCATATAACAAAATTCGAAAGTAAAGTGATTTTAATTTCAACAAATTTGTTGATCTTTATAGAGAATAATTGTAATTTGCATCAAACTTATACCTATACTATTAATTAATTAACGTTCTTTGTATTAATACATTACATCTTAGAGTAGTTTGAAGTACCTAACATGGAACTGAAAAAAGCGTAGTCGGTCGCCATTTTCCTAATTTCTTTTTAAATATATGAATATAAAATATATAACTCTTTGACGAATATGTATTTATTTTCAGGATATGGATGAACATACCTGCGCTTACATTATAAGCCGTTATCGGTTTTTATGGCTAAGATTAAGTGATATTGTACAAAAATTAGGCAATGCGTATGCAAGAACATATTCGGCGTATTCCCTATTCATGCTGACAAATATGACCATTGCTGTAAGTCTTTAGATGCATTGAATAATGATTTGATTACTTGATTGTGGCACGTTTGATTGAAAATTGCACATTTAGTTCGCAACTTAAGGTGACCAAATCGTCGCCATAATTGCACTGTAAGTTGGGAGACTTGTCGGATATTAAATTTTGATGATTTTTGTATGTATTATACTAGTTATTGAGTTTCAAATTGGTTGTTTGGAAATGTGCCGTGTCAAATATTAAGCGAAATAGACCTACATGTTATCCGCGGTTTCTATAGGTATTAGGCAACGGCTTTTTTCTCAATAATGTCTCTAATGTCTCTTGCACCATAATAATATAATAAAAAGGCAACTGAATACCGAACGATCCTCGGGATATACATGCATTTCTGTACTTTTTCAATAGACTTAGAAAATTGTATGTTGGTTATAAAAATAATCGAAATCTTAAAGTAGTTAGAGCGCCTAGGTAAAAGTAACAAGAAGTTGGTGAAAATTTGGTCACTTATTCTCTGAGAGACGCACTTTCTAATGGTCAAAAGAAAAAAGTGTTCCTATGTTCCGTTTCTGAGATATTTGACAGTCTTATGGACAGACTCAGTTTTTCTGAGCTAGCGAAGGTTTTTGTATCAAGACTTAAATGAGATGGGTCTCATTAGAAGCGAAATTTTGTGACGAATCTAAATATGCACGGAAAAGTACATGTTCATGATGAAATAAGGAAGATATTTACCGCCGGAGCGGCGTCTGCTCGGACGCGGCGGCACGCTATGCAGCACGCATTTAAATCTGATGACTTTTCCACTAGGTCTAGTATATAGCTGAGCTAGGACAATCTTTTCCTTCTTCTGCTGAGCACTTTTCTTCACAAAAGGCATGGTGTCTTTCCGAAAGAACACCAAAACCAGCGATATTTATAAAGGCCTGCACACGTCTTGTTGACACATTGATCGGATCGAGATCAAGATAGCGGCTGGGGATCTCTGGCGCCAACATCGAAAAACTAAATCCACTACACCGACTTCACGTAAAACGCCAAATTATTTAGTTTCCCGGCTTTTACATACGTCTCGCATACGTTTTGATTAAAAATAAATATATTCGTTTAGGATTTACCGTTTACACTGTGAATATTTAGTCGCGGTGTGTCGTCAACATTTAGTGTGCAAAGGTTTGAAACAGGGTCGAAAAGTAGAGAGACTAGTCAAGTTGACTACTGTATATACCTTTTTAAAAATCATGTAAGACGTTTGCATTGTGCTGATGTACAAAATACCACTCATACCGTATTTCTAATTATGTTTCCTTCATAACAACATTTTTTTGGGGACGTTTACCGTAAGTAATAGGTAGGCCGAGTACATCACTTGACAGCCGAACGCGCCCTAACTACTTTAAATTACACATATTGATAGCAATCGGACATACCTAAGGACTTACTCAAGTGCTTCAAATTTAACGTTGTGGAAATAGATTTACATGTGTCAATTTTAAGTTCAGTTCCAAGAAAACAACATTGAAGCATGATAGTTACTTTTAGCTACCTACTATGTCACCAATTTAGTGTCAATTTTTTGCAATTGGGTTTTTGTGCAGCGGTAGAAGGAACACATTTCGGATAGTAACAGAATATATTCTTGAAAATTGAGAAATAAATTGGAGCCATCAATTATGGATAATAGATGATACCTATCTCCCTGTAAATTTATTATCAATCAGAATACTTGAACGACTCCAGTCTAAATATCTCTAAAATGGTCTCGCTTGTCCCCACTGCGTTTCCCTAAGGAAGCAACGAACGTCCGTAGTCCGCGCACAAAGGGCTTGAAATTAAACTGTACGATTAGGGGTATTAAAATAAAATTTAATTTAACAGAAAAAGAAAATAAATAACACTATTTGACTTAAATTGCAACGGCGGAAACCTAGTTGTGATGGTCGACCGAACGGTAGGGAAATCTCAAGCGCCACCGGGATGTTTCAACCCTTTCTCCTGCTCAAGAAAGGAGGTTTCGGAACGAAAATTCCGAACCCACGGGTACTCAGACGGAGAAACGGAAAACTGCAGGGACATGCGGGCAAATAGCTGTCGTCACTGGCGAAAATCTAAAACAAAATGCAGGAAAAGCGGAACACAACCGCACATTTTATACTTATAGAAATAAAAATATCAAGGGCTTACCTTTGAATTCAACTATACGGTGAAATGGAAAAGCTCCCCCTTATACAGAATTCTCAAAAAATGTGTCTCAGCCGAACGGCGTACTCGGGTAATAACGTCCGACAATTAAAAACTGTTTTAATTAATTTCCAGGCTCACGGGCGTCCTAAAAATCTGGCACATATGCCAAAATCTATCTTGATTATGGGCGATTCTAATGCCGCTAGACCCAATCTAATCAGAGACTATCAATTTTCTCTCAACTGTCAAAGAGCGAGACCTCTCGGAAGATGTAAGAATAAATAATTAAAATATCTCTACGGGAGCAATTCGAAAACAATTGTTTTACCTTTTATTTACTCCTAGAAAAGAAATACGGTTCGGAAAGTGCCCCGTGTTTATATCACGTCTGGATACCGTGCGGTCATTAAAGCTGGTACATATTACAGCGGAAAATGGGTGCTTCGTTACAAAATTATTTTAAAGGGATGTTCCGTTAATCCAAGGAGAACGTTTGAAGATTATTTGTAATGGATGATATCTAACAATCAGAATATTTGAACAATTTTCAGGCAAGTAGATTTGAAAATTACAAAAAGTCCTTGAAATAAACAGTAAATTAATACGTTTAATTTAAACTTAATAAATATATTTTCATGCAAATAGTATTGTTTAACACTGTTTAGTATTCAGAGTAATAATAATAATAATAATAATAATAATAAGGTCTTTATTAGATGACGATCTAAAGGGCGAAGTTCACCTGGCAACATCGCCACCAGGTGTTCTTCCACTTAACCCATAACATAACTTCAATTTAAATGTTTACAATTTCGATGGACGGGTGACAAAGAGAGATCACACACACACAAAAAGACAATACTGTGAAAAAAAAAAAGTTAATTAATAAGTAACTTGAGAATGGGACACTTTACTCGTTCAAAAGAATGTGACGTAGTGCTGATTTAAACCTGGACACTGTAAGCTTTTTAATATTCGATGGAATGGCATTGTAGACAGTGGTAATGCTATATGAAAAAGATTTTTTGAACATCTCTGAACTATGAGAAGGGATAGTAATGAGATCCTTTCGTCTGATATTTACATTATGAACGTCAGTTCGAAAGGTGATTTTATTATAAAGATACGGTGGTGTTTTAAAAAATATTATTTTGTGATACAAAATCGCCGCGTGAAGGAGTCGGTTTTTTTCCATATCAAGCCAGGATATTGATTTTAATTTATGCGAAACGCTTTGAAATTTACGTATGCCATAAATCAATCTTAAGCAAGAATTCTGAATTACCTACAACCTTCTCTTATGCGAGTACGAGAGTCGAGGACCATATACAGCACTGCAATACGTAAAGTGAGATAATACAAGTGACCTACAGAGCAAAATTTTTGATGAAATTGATAATAAGGATCTAATTCCATATATGTACCGAAGACTAGCAAAAGCTCGTTGAGTACATTTTTTAATATGAGTGTTGTAATTAAATTTAACGTCAATAGTCAGACCGAGATTTCGGGCTTCGTCTACCAACTCCAGTCTTTCTCCATCAATCCTTATATCCAAAAGCGCACACATTTCCTCACGGGCAACAACATTATATTGAGCGCCAAATAACATCAATTTACATTTACTTAAGTTTATATTTAATGAATGCTGAGCTGCATAAGAAATGAAATTATTTAAATCTTCATTAATTTCTTTATTAGCCTTGGCGATATCGGATTTATCAAAACTGTAATACAACTGAGTATCGTCGGCATACAAATGATATTTGCAAAATTTTAGCTTTTTAATGATGTTTGCAGTGTAAATTGAAAAGAATATGGGACCTAAAATAGAACCTTGCGGTACTCCACACTGCAGTTCCTTCAACAATCAGATTTCGTTTATTTGAAGTGCTATTTGGCTAAAAATATAAAAAAAGGTATACAAACGGTTTTGATATTAAATTAAGCTAGTTCTTGTTGAGCCCGTCGGATTCTCAGTTTTTTTTCTGCCTTTCACTTCAGTTAGACGCTGCTTCAGACCACTCGTTGCTTTGTCACTTACCGTCGTATAATTTAAGCGATTTTCTAGTATTCTTTGCATGTAATACCATCCCAATTTTTTTAAGGAGAAATAAGAGATTGTTATTGCTTCTACTACAGATTTAAGCCGCGTAGGTATTCATTTTTGAAACAGATGATTTTAGATTTTAGAGACCAAATTTCGAATAATAAAGTAAGCAGAGAAGCTAGTAAGCCAAGTCACCGAGCTTTCGCAGTTCTAGACTACTGAGACTTAATTGGTTTCCAACCTTCTGAGAGGAGATGGCACATAAAAACGATATTACTAAGAGACTCAATGGGGAAGAACAATTTCAATTATGTATCATATTAATACATTGAGTCTCAATGGGAGGGTAAAGTTATATTGCTAAATATATATTTCCACATATTTTTGTTGGAGTAACCTTCCTAAGATTATTTATAACACTCTCAATACGTTAGAATTGCGAGATAAGTACTTAATGATGGTAATTTTCGCACACTGTTGAATCGATATAATGTTGATACACTAACAGTAATTGGCGTGTAGCAAGTTTTTTATGATAATAACAACAATTTCCCGTAGATTTATGGTTACACTTCCGAAATTGTGGATCACGGCTTTAGGCTTACATTTAGAGAAGTTGGTTTACTGGTGGATGCTGCGTATTGCACGACGCTTCTATTTGTCTTTTGCGATTGTTCACATCGGGCGTCCATCAACATCTCAAATCGGGTCCAGCATCGATTGATGAGCGTTAAGATGGACACGGTTGACGTTCACACGGCGAATGAGGTGGTATTATTTTTGAGTCAATTGTAAATGACATTGACATTGTAGATTGAACTGTTCTTAGTCGCTATACGCGTTAACTCCCCTAAGGTGTCTTTAAAGGGATATACCACTGTAAACCGTGAGCTAATATCATCGGTATAACCACAACCAATTAACACCCTTTGATTTTTATGATTATTTTCCCTTTCAGATGCTTGCCACAATGATGATGTACCTCATAGTTTTACTGCAATTTAAAATCAGCCTCGTGCGTTCCTCTTAAAGCTGAACACGTCGTTTCGATTTTTCCAGTTGTACCTAGTATTGAACTGCAGTTGATATAGCAACACGTACAATTACCTATAGTAGAAAACAGCATATAGGTCAATATCAGTAGGTCACTTCGATATAGTGTTTGTAGGTTTATTAGAGTAGGTAGTGGTAAATTATGTTGAAGAATTTGATATTTGTTTTTATTCTTTTAATTCACTTGCCTCAGGTAATGTATTTTGCAAATTGTAATAAACTACGTAAATTTACTCAAACAGGTGTTGAGTTTTACCTACGCTATAGAAATCCCTAAACTGAAGTGTAGTAAGGGCAAAGTGGAAAATGGAACTACGACAATAAGGTAATTGCAATTCAGACATTTCCCTTTCTTTTAAGTATAGTCGTTTTGCTTCGCATAATTTCCTAAACACTTGGTTTTGATGTTAAACAATGGGAGTCCCCAAGGGACTTCTTCTATAATAACATCTTCTGAGATTTCCTCAGTCCTGTACGCTGACTTCCCATCTCGAGTTTCCTCTGGTATTTTAGTGTTTAGTGATAAAGTACCTACACGTTACTATGACCAAACGTAAGGATCTATAGTAAAGCCTGTTATTAAGTTCTGGAACTTGTCTAACTGTACTTTCACGAAACAGTGTTACCGGAAAAGATGTTGGAGTTTTAAAGTTTGAGTGGATGGTTAATTTCAACATTACCAATAACTGTACTAGTCAGCGATGTACACTGATGGCTTGGAGAAGCGTACAAGACCTCTACAAAGCCTTAAACTACGCAAGCAAACCTACTGAAATTAAAGTTAATAACACAATAGTAAGGTAACACTCTAATAAACTATCCCAACTACTGTAAATATGGTTAGTTGCTAGGATCCGTTCGGTACAAGTTGAATGTGACTACAATATCGAATAATACTATTGTGGAATCCAAAGAGTACGTCTTGGAGTGCGATACTGGGGCTGATACTGCTACACCTCCAAAGGATAAGTTTCACAGTTTTCTGAGGCTGCTCGGACCAAACATCACATATCCAGACATGATGTATACAATAAACGCTGTGGTTGTCGATTTGGACAGCCCTTATCACGTAAGTCGTTAGTCGTCACCTTACATTTCATATATTTAACACCGTTTGTCTCAGTTTCAGTGGGAAATACAGGATCAGTCCGAAAAATTGGTGAAAATTGATCACACAAAGGGATCAATGCTGAGTTTTAGATCGAATCTACTATTGACGGATCAGCAGTACATAATTAAGTGTAGTGTTGTGGATACAAAAGGGGAACCTCTGGCAACGGTAATAATTGCGATTCATCTTGGTTTAAATCAGACATGTTATGATTAGGCACCCACTTAAATTGTTAGGTCGATAAAATTTGGCATCACCACTTTGCTCAAATCTAGTAAAAATATGCCTATAATTTATATATAACTAGAAATCAAGTTAGCACCCCCATTTTTTCCGATTGAAATTTTATTAGACAGACAGACGACGGAAAATCGAGTACATAAACTAAAAATTATAACTGTATATGAGTTACCTATACACCTATACCTATACATAGGTTATTAGTAACTATTAGACCGAGAGATAACAACAAATTTTATGCGATGATTTTTAAACGTCACCAAAATTTTTTCTTTTCATAGGTTAGAACTTGCGTGTAAACGTATATCATACGTCTGTTGGCAAGCCGTTTTATTTTTACGTCATTTTTTCAATTTTGACAACACAACAAACTAAAGTTTATTATAAACGTCTGCCATTATAGTCATTTAAGCATTAAGGGCATTAAGGCGATATTTATGGCGACGGCGGCTGATTGGCCGAGGGTTTGTAAGTCGCCCGAGTATTAAATGTCGAGTAATGCCTGAGGTACATAAACAGCTTTATTTCTGATCATTCCAAATAATGTGTTTCCATAATAGACAAATGTAATGACTAATGATTATTGTTTGCACAACATAACATAACAACATTCATACGAATCAAGTAGTATCTTTTTTAATAATTATAACTCTATCAATAGATTTGACAGAACGTCTGAGGATGACAGTCCATTGTGCCCTTTCATTACGCCGTAGGACATCATGGACTGTTTTATATATCTCATAAAAATCCGGTTCAAGAAAAAAGTAAAAACTTCCAATAAAAAAATGAGCGTATAATCTTGAAGAGATTTAATGTGTTTAATGTTAAATGTTGTTTTTATCATGTTTATTATCTTTGTTTATGTCTATTGTAGGGAATATTCTAGAAATCCCGATAGATATTATAGCACCATAAAAGATTAGTCATCGGCCATACAAAACAATAGCGGATGTGGCGCATTTTTTCCGGGAAATATTATGTGTTTGTTCGAGAAAATTCTGGAATATTCGGGAGCGTTCGGGAGAACTTTCGACCGGCGTTTGCTATATAAGCAAATCGAATTGTGTTTCGAGTCAGTTCTAACATGGATTCGAAGTAAAGTAATAAGCTCCCTCTTGTGGTATGTTATAAATTGTGAGTGATAATTACTAAAACTTAACTATAATATAAATATTACTGCTCCATTTTAAGACTGTTATAAATGTATTGTTAGTACCCACGAGGAAATTGTAACGTGTAAACACACGTGCATGGTTTTTTAATCAAACGTCTCATCGAAAGGAACTATAACTTTCATCCGCTACTTTTTAAGATAAGTGGGTGACGAGGAGAGGGGGTGGGGGTTAGAAATTTATTTTATTTTTCATGTCAACTAAAGGAATTAGTTTCTACCAACTACAGTCCTCCTCCTAGACCGTAACGTGGTTGGTTCTACTATCTCTAGAGCGAAGTGTCGGAAGAGGGTGTTCTTGTAGACAAAGAGCGATTGGTACGTTTGGAAGAAATATCCCTATTAGTGGTGTCAAATGTTTAAGAGGAAATATCTCGATAACTGTCAGAAGAGCGTACTCATAAAGGGCAAGTGGGACGCCTGGCCGAGACGCATCTACTAGTGATGTTAAAACATTCAGTGCCTTTATCTGCAGAACGGAAGGTACTTAGTGTGAATATCTCGAATATGGAATGTCGAAGGAAGTTATCTACAAAGGGAAAATGCAAGATTGCGGAGAATTTTTCTAAGGGCTTGAATCTTCTTGTGTTATATAGCGTATATTTTGAATTTATGCCAAGCGGTCTTTAAATTATTACCTTAGGAAGTTAGTTTTCCGACGGAACCAAGCGGGTACAAATTAGTCTTTCAATCGGAAAAAGTGGGGGTGCTAACTTGATTTAAAAAAAAAAGCAGCAAAAAAAAATCGAACCAAAGCTGCTATTATTTGAAAACCTGCATAAAGTAGAAGTTCCAAGATATAATTTATAAATTTATTTAATTTAGGTATCTAAATTTCACTAATACCTATTCTTACAGTCAACACACGATTTGGTAATACTGAGCAGAGGAATATCCCTTAACATTCCTTTAAAGAAGTTACAAGTCGGCGTCAACAGACCATTTAAGCTCAACGCATACTTTGAAGACGTTGACAATCTCAATGGGAGTGTTAAGGTAAACCTTTCACATGAACTTGGCAACTCTATTCCATTACTTTAGCTCCAATGGACGTGCCGTACAGAAAAAGATGAAAAGTGTCCCAATGTCAAAACGGAAAACTCAACTTTTCTTGAAAACCTCAAATTTTCGAAAGTTGGAAGGTAGGATCCGATCGTATGCATGTGTTTAAAATCAAGCTTACAGATACACAATCCAAATTACAGCCGAAAAGAATGACGCGAAAGTGTCAGATTCTGTAGAAATCACTGTAATACGTGATGGATATGTAAGTATTGAGGTTGACGATTTCGCCACACCTGTTGATCCATCCAAAGAGATTACCGTACCGGTGTATGTGACTGGTATGGTGGCAGGTTGTACTTTGCAATGGATGTGCTTAAATTTAACGGGATACAGCTTCGTGGATTTGACGAAAGCGGTAAGTTGCATACTGTTTAAGTTGACTTTCTAGAAATCTGCGCATTCAGCCTGGAAATGTGCATCTTCTAACTAAAGTAACTGTAAAAAGTAACGAATTTTTGAACGAACTTGATGAATACTCCAATGACACAGTCGACAAAGATTATAACTTGGTGTTGTCCAAACCTAAAGGTACAACCCAGCAGTACAGTCAGCTGAATGACTTTTGCCAAATTTTAGACTCTTGGATGGGGTTGGGAAGTGATACCAGTTATATGTTTAGACTGAATGTTACGTGTCCCCTTCCTGATAATGACGACAGCCGTACCGAGCAAGTTCTTAAGCACGTTGTCGTCACCGCCCTTATTTGTGTGGTTACAAGCCCCATTCCAACCATAAATGATCTATCAGTCACCCCCAATGCAGGAGTTGCACTCACCACCACCTTTCACTATCATTCCAACGACGATTTTGGCAGTGTCAAAGGGGCGCCATATTTGTATAAGTTTGGGTACATCGTGAACAACCGTGACATATTTCTGTCCAATGTGCTTGATGAAAAAAGCTGGAATAGCGTGCTGCCATACGTAGGTATGCACTTTTACTTATTTGACGTAGTTATGCAACTACTATACTAGGTTCTACAGATAAAGGTGTAAATACAGTTCTGGAATGTTGCAACACTTACGCCATGTGCAGTCAAATCAAAGGCCCAAAAGTGTTGACAAGTTTACCGACATATTCCGATGATGATAAAACGTAAGCTACGACCGCAAGTCAAATACTTAGTCTACTTATCTTGTACCAGTCGTTTTCAGTTCGAAATAAGGCAAATGATGGAACGCCAAGAATATTCCACAGCTTTTGCTTACGCTACTGGTGTTCTTTTAACCTATAATAGTTTGAAGGACACAGCTTTAGTAAAAAACTTTGAAAAATTCATAACTGAATTGGCCAATGCCGAAACCAAAAAGCTACTTAAATTAATCGACAGTGGAAATAAAATCTGGATCACCCCGAGCAATAATTTTATCCGAGATGCCGGTTTAATTTTGGATCACATGTCTACAGATGAACTACTCAATGTAAGTGCGCTTGCTTTACAAATGTATATGTTGAGTTTCAGTCAGTGGTTACTTTGAGGAACAAATTATCTAAGACGAAAGATGTCGAATACTTGAGTAAGCTTCAAGCTGCCACTGCCGAGCGTGCTCCTCATTATCAACACAATAGTGATTTACCTCCAGTTATTCGAAGCAAGAGGGAAACTGACCGAATCACTTTGGAGGAGGTCAAAAGTTATTTGGTAATCTCCGAGTTAATAATCACCAGTTCGAAAGATAAGAAGGCGGTGCAACAAGAGAAGGAGCATTTGGTGAACCAAGTCGATAAGTTTATGGTGCAATTGTGCAGTACAGTTCACAAGAAACCTCAACCTATAAATTTGGGTACGTATTTATTGGTAGTTTGCAGTCAGTGATTTTGGTGAGCTTCACAGATTTGAAAACTGTATCACTGGCATTGGAAAAACTTAATAAGAATAACATCAATCGATACTTCAACATTCTAAGAGAGACAAACTCATGGGACGTTAACGGAAGAATCAAATTGGGAAAATGTTTCGTTGAAAATGTAGGGTTCACTGATCATTTATGTATGGGAAAGGCCATCTTTAAGGAGTACTTTGACAAGCCGTCCTACGTTTATATGGTGAAAGTTTACGGGACGAAGCACAGTGAGCAGGTGAAAATTCAGGATATGTTTTGTGAAGCTGTTTTGGAATTGCCTCTGGATAAATATGACCCATCTCACAGCGCACCAAGGGTATGTCAGATAATTTTGGGTAAATTTTATGAGATACTTTTTTAGTGCTCGCTGTGGAAAAACAAGTGGGATGAATCCGAATGTAAAACTTTACAAATAAGATCAAAAACTATACAATGTCAATGCGGGCATCTGGGCTATTACTCGTAATTACACTCCGCGTTAGAGTGCTGCAAGGAACCTAATGCGCTTGGTTTTCAGGTTGGAATATAGTGCCATTTCTACTAGTACTGTTACCGCCATTACGGCTGCCATCACTACTACAACAGTGGCTGTAACTCCAAAAGTCACAATAACTACACAACAGCCAATAGAAAGCACGGTAAAAACAACTGTAAAGGCCTCATCTGAGTCTACATTGATAACCGAAAGCCCATCCACAACTTCTTACTCTAGCGTGGAGAGTACCACCACCAAGATTACCACAAAAGCGCCAACACCTGTAATAACTGAAAAAATCATTGAGACTACTGAAATTCCCAAGCCGACAACAACTCTAGCCGAAAATAAAAGCGACAATGACATTGCAGAAAAATTAGCTGAAGGTAAACCTCCTTGTTTTACACCATTCCTACATTTTTAGTTTTCAGTTGAATATGAAACGGTTTGCTACGTAGTAATTGGCGCATCGGTTATGGGAACCTGCACTTTGCTGTTCGGAATTAAGCGCATACTTGCAACAACTCGCAAAGTTTATAAGGACGACTCCGATTTTCCACAATATGAAAAATTGCCAGATGAGGAACTTTTGGATGACTTTTCAATTTCAAACTAATTGTGTTGTCTTTTTAAACTAGATGTGATCCTATACTTTAGTTGCGTCTGTATTTTCTCTGTTTAACTGTAATTTAAAATTAACGTTCAATGTATCAGGGCATAGATATGAGTTTCTACATACTTACCTAATAATGATTACAGTAATATTCAACACTTGCAGTACATTATTTTTAAGATCTGGTGAAACTCACTTTTGGTTCCTCATTTTTTTAACCCCTATACTAGGCGAAAAGTAACATTAGTCCCACAAAGGACTGGCACGTCGTTAATTTAATCCACAGGGTGCAAATCTAGGTGCAAATAATCGTTTTGTTGCCATTTAAAATTACATTAGTAATATTTGGATGTACAGTCGTGGTCAGAAGTAATGTCCTCCCCCAGATACCTCAACTGTAGAAAAAGTGCTAATATGTCAATTCCGTGATTTAGTTCACTTTCATTTCCATCTTAGGACCTTGCTCATTTTGAAAAGAAGCTCAAAACTCAGGTGAAAAATGTATCTCATTAACGATTTTCATTAATGCCATTAATAAGAAAAACAAGTTTTTTTTAAATAAAGTAAAGTGACCAAGCGGCGTACAAAGGGAAATCAAAGAAAAACATTTCCTGTCTATAAAGTTTTTGATAATTTGGTACTATATTTGCAAGATCTTCTGAAATATGTATTTATCCAATCCCTTAAAATATTCATTTATACTGGCTCTTAATTTTGTAGGGGTTAAACTGCCCCTTTCTTTCAAAACATATAAAACTATATATTACAGCTTAAATTGAGTAAAAAATGGTTCAGATGAGTAATGTTTTGGTACATTATTTCAGACTATACTAATTTACAACCCTTAAAAATCAATCCCTATTGCAGATTAATTTAAAAAAATGTAGCTGGATGCAGAGCTGGGCAGTATTCGATTTTGTAAATACTTTTTAGTATTCAAATCCTTTAAAGTATTCAAATACTTTGTAATTAAATACGTTTATGGAAGCAGTATTTGTATTTGTAACTCAAATACTTTCACAAATATTTAGTATTCGAATACTTCGCATAGTATTTTGAATACCTTCCTTTTTTATCAAAAATCGACTACACCAAAACTTCTCGGGAAAACACTTTTTCTTATTAATTTTTGTGCGTTGAATCCAAAACAATTCGTACTTTTTCGATTAGACTTCTCAATCAAAAGTTATAGACTAGAAACCAATTTCGAAAAAAATTCAAAGGGCTGTAACTTTTGAACTAGGAGCCCAATGTTGAAACTGTTTGAAATTATGGATTCTATAGGCCACATTCTATAAGTAAATTTTTTCCGGGTCGATCTGAGACAATTTTTTTTGCGGGCCTCAAAAAAAGGCAGTGTATAACCTTCCTTTTTTTTACCAAAAATCGACTACACCAAAATTTCTCAGAAAAACACTTTTTCTTATTAATTTTGGTGCGTAGAATCCAAAACAATTCGTACTTTTTCGATCAGACTTCTCAATCAAAAGTTATAGACTAGAAACCATTTTCGAAAGAAAATTCAAAGGGCTGTAACTTTTGAACTAGTAGCCCAATCTTGGAACTGTTTGAAATTATGGATTCTACAGGGCACATTCTATAAGAAAAATTTTTTTCCGGGTCGATCTGAGACAATTTTTTTGAGGGCCTCAAAAAAAGGCAATGTATAACCTTCCTTTTTTAACAAAAATCGACTGCACCAAAATTTCTCGGGAAAACACTTTTTCTTATTAATTTTGGTGCGTAGAATCCAAAACATTTCGTACTTTTTCGATCAGACTTCTCAATCAAAAGTTATAGACTAGAAACCAATTTCGAAAGAAAATTCAAAGGGCTGTAACTTTTGAACTAGTAGCCCAATCTTGGGACTGTTTGAAATTATGGATTCTACAGGCCACATTCTATAAGAAAATTTTTTTCCGGGTCGATCTGAGACAATTTTTTTTTCGGGCCTCAAAAAAAAGGCAGTGTATAACCTTCCTTTTTTACCAAAAATCGACTGCACCAAAATTTCTCGGGAAAACACTTTTTCTTATTAATTTTGGTGCGTAGAATCCGAAACAAATCGTACTTTTTCGATTAGACCTCTCAATCAAAAGTTATAGACTAGAAACCAATTTCGAAAAAAATTCAAAGGGCTGTAACTTTTGAACTAGTAGCCCAATCTTGGAACTGTTTGAAATTATGGATTCTACAGGCCACATTCTATAAGACATTTTTTTTCCGGGTCGATCTTGAGACAATTTTTTTCTCGGGGCTCAAAAAAAGGCAGTGTATAACCTTCCTTTTTTACCAAAAATCGACTGCACCAAAATTTCTCGGGAAAACACTTTTTCTTATTAATTTTGGTGTGTAGAATCCAAAACAATTCGTACTTTTTCGATCAGACTTCTCAATCAAAAGTTATAGACTAGAAACCAATTTCGAAAAAAAATTCAAAGGGCTGTAACGTTTGAACTAATAGCCCAATCTTGGAACTGTTTGAAATTATGGATTCTACGGGTCAATTTCTACAAGAAAGTGTTTTTTTCCCGGTCGATCTCAGACAATTGTTTTTTCCGGCCTCAAAAAAGGCAGTACTTTTAAGTTATTCAAATGTTTGAGAACAATTTAGAAATGTTTAGGGAAAGTTTCCATTGTCCCACAATCAAATATAAAAATCCGATACAATTGAATATCGAACGATCCTGGAGTGAAACTTTATGACTCGATTGTCTACGTAACTTAAAAACAATAGGGACCTTTCTTATATCCTTAAGACCATGTGTACCAATTTTCAACACGTTTCTAAAAAAACTATCATGCACACGGACAAACGGATGGTCAAAAATGTATCTGTTCCAAAATCGCTAGGATTAATTTCAGAAAGGCGTACGTATCATGTGCACGACGTACGATCGCTTTGAAAACTGGTACACGTATTCTTAAGGATATAACTGGTATAAGAAAGGTCCTGGTAGGTACCTCCTATATAATAATATAATAATAATAATACGCTATTACTCCCCTTAAATTTGTATATAACAATAGAAATATAAAAAAAGCTAACCCCATACAAAGTATAACTTGATTTTTAAGTAGTATTAAGCCTTTTATCTAGTATACTATTTTAAATTTTTAATGTATTTGAGTGACAAGTATTTGAATACTTTTTACTGTATTCGAATACTTTTTATAGTATTCGAATACCTTTGATAGTATTAGAATACTTTTGAAAGTATTCGAATACCTTTGAAAGTATTCGAATACTTTTGACTTAACCAATTAAACTCTTTCATTAGTGAAATGAAATCAAGACATTGGCGAATGCTAGATAAAGGGGTTGTTAACGCTGGCTAACATGACTTTGTCTTTATGTTCAGTGACCCTCCACCCTTTTCCACATTACACTTTATAAAAAAGATTATTCAACTTTTGCATCAATTTTAAAAGCACTCATTGAAATGGCAAATGTGAGTTTTTCATTTGGGTTTAATATGGGGACCGAAATTACAAAAAAACTGCTATAAACAGTGACGGTTTTTTATTCCACTTTAAGTGTAAGTAGATATAATAATACACAAACATTCAATTTACAGACTTTAGTTTCAGCACAGTATATAAAGTATACCTACAATATTTTTTACTTAAAAAGGGCAGTAAGTAAATAAATATCTTATGTACGCATTTTGAGCTTATGACTGCGATATAATATCAGTATCAGTTCAACTACAAATATATAACAGTATTTTTGCTTACACATTATAATAACAAATAGCTTACGAAATTACCAATTAATCACACAGTGTTTATTAATTCTAGATGCAGCAAAAACTGTATAAATATATCATTTTACATCACGTTAGAAAAATACATCAATGGGCTTTTTTTCGGAGAGCAACCACATATTTTTTTCAAACTTCGGGGTACGTTTTCACATTATGATGATGACGCTGAAGGATTTGAGCAAACACAACCCAAATTAGCACCTCCCTCAAATTGATTTCTTTCGCAATCCAGTGCAGATCGAGGGCGAACTTCACCTGCACCACCTGTTAGATTAATCGTAACTATATGCGGCACAACTTACCTGCTATTTAAGCAGCTCAGACTTAACGGTAGTGTGTCGGTTGAGGATGGAGGAATATACCCTGGTACGGATTCAATAAGTGGGTACCACTGTGCTACTGGTCGTCTTGGATTGTCTAACATTTCTAACCAGTGGTCTTTGCCTATGCCTATAAAGCTTGAACCTATCGCCGTGCATCCCATTAGTTCATTAGATCCAATTCTGGAATTAAATTAGATAATTTGCTTTTATCGTATATTTGTTCTCACGATGACTTCGGTGCGCTTTTATTTACTATAGGATATTCTAAATAAAAGATTCGTGAAAATGGCATTGTTCAATATCTTTGAAACGTAAGAAGGAAAGAGACAATTCAACCTCATGAGTGAGAGAGAAAAATTCTTCCCCGTACCACTCATTAATTGTGCGTTTATCGTGGATTAGGAAATGCTGATTTGTTCAATTTTCATCCAAGAGTATAGGTACATACAATAACTTTTAATGAACGCACACCTGCTATTTATAACTTGAATGGTCACTGTAAAAACTATTAGTCAAAAACGGAATATGACATAGTGGGTTGTACTATTGTTCATTAATAAAGAAAAAAAAATAAATCCGTTGACCGCCATACACAAATAACTCCAAGTTCCCTCAACAGGTCTTGACCTCTGTCTTTGAGATAAAATCAACAATCAACCCTATTGCAGAAATACCTCACTTCAATTATTGTACAATAGGGTTGCCGCAACCCTTGTATAGGGCCCCATATAAAATAAAATAAATAAGATAACTTTAATTACCTGTCATAGTCGATTACTTTAACAATCATACTAACATCTTCTATATTTTCAGCAGGAACATCAAAAACAAGCGCCTCATTATAAACGGGACACAGAGTGGATTTTTTCACAGTCGTTTTTTTCTTCTTTATCCTTTTCCCTTGGCAAAGCAAATATACTTTAACATAAGGATCTGAAAGGAAATGAAAATTACAAAAGGAATTGTTTTCGCATCGGCCTCCTTAACTAACCCGATTTTCCGGTAATATCCATCGCCTTTAAATTTCGTCCTTTAATAACGGTCAGAGTAAGTCGTCCGGCGGTCGGCAGATAACATAACGATAACATGATCTCTCCCAAATCAACTTTGTCCTATAATTAATAAATTTATTAGTGGTTGTTTGCGCAATGTAAATCGAATCGCGACGCTCGTGACCTATTTCGAATTCGTCGAATAATAGGTCAAGGTTTCCAGTACGAAGGGCTCGAGTTATTTTTAGAACATGCGAAATTAAATTTAACGAAATTTTCAATGCCACAGAAAACTTTACGTTCGTCAAAAACGGGATTAAGATCCTTACCTGTGGAGGACACAATATATTCATTGTGTACTCGATCTCCTGTTGAAGATCGGCCGTTTCTAAGAGTCCTTTTAAAACTACGTGCCCGATAAGATCGTGTCTTGAGAATCTGTCGAAATCGTATACGGAAAACTGAAGGTACCGCTGCTTTAATTCCTCGTACGGTACACTGTAAGAAAAATAAATCCTACGTTATAAATTTGTTAACCTTAACGGGGATTTAAGACTTGCGATAGACTGTTGATTGAGATTTATAGAGCCCATTCTTTCACTTAAGCCACCCGTCTAGGTCTGGGAAAATAGAAAAGAAAATTAAGACGGTTTCTCGTAAAAAAAAGTTTTGGTGCCTGATGGTTGTAATTAACTCATGCAGCGCTCTACGATGATGAAAAGTTTCGCATTTTTCATATCCCAATAATAAGGGGAATGTAAACAGAACTGGTCGATTGAATACTGAGGTAGGCTCTGCTAAATCGGATTATAAAATGAACACTGAGAGCATCGACAGAAGTCAAGCTTTTGTTCACAATAAAAGAACGTTTTGTTTTTCCAAAGCACTTCCCAAAAAATTAAAAATTATATTTTTAAGAAAAATGTGATACTGAACCACTGTGTGATATAAAATGGCGCGCATAAGTTGCCTCGTGTTTTTCTGTCATCTTAAAACGGGATGCCATATTAGAAATCTCCATTAAAAAGACTCTGAATAATGGGTGTTAATCATGAAAATTGATGATATTTTAAATTTCTTTTCAGATTGTTATTCAGCACGGAAATTCGCAACTTTGCCCTCATTTACCCAACTTTCTATCTCTTAAGGTAAGCGAGATCCCCATAGTGGCACTCGAAAAATGGCCCTTAACCAAGCGAAGGAGGCGTGGGAGACCTACTTTCACAAACCCTAAACTAATCTCAAATAAAAAAACAGATGTTGACCATTTAATCTCTGTTTTTATCTAAAGTTCCTGCGCTATTAGCAATTTTATTAGAAAATTCACATCAAATTTCATTATTCAGATTACCAATTTATGAAAATGTCGACGGAAACAATTTGCAGTCACATTGTCAAGAGAAAAGTAAAACATTACGCAGCTTCTTTCATACAATATTCTGTTCGAATGACAAATGGAAATGATCTGTTTATGAAGTGAAATGACTGGAAAAAGGTTTTTGTTTCAGACAAGAGATTTGGGGTGTATTAGTTACAAAATGCTATTACATACGTACCTAAATATGAAGGTCTCATTGAAGACGGGATTCAAGTTTTTTCTATGCACTTTCGTTTGGTACTTCTTTTTTCTATCAGGCAGTAGATAAAGTTTTACATAAGGATCGCTGCTACCGGTGACATCCTTAATTGGCAAGTCTCTCGATTCCAATACCTAAAATTTGAACGCTACAGTACAACAAAACGCTGTTATTCACGAGTTTTCAATTAGAGCTAGCAAATAAGCGTAAAATTTATTCTCCTTCAAAATGAAACGTTAAAAATCACTTCACCCGAATTAATTGTGAATGAGCAAGACGTGTAAATTACCTTAACAACCAGCCCTTCGACGTCCTTATCGTAACGTAGGGCGAAATGTAATTTTCCGCAGTACTCCATTTCGGGACCGCCAGAGCTGTCGTTGGAGGATTGCCTCACCAAATCCTTCTTGTACAATTCGGGCTGAAATGTTATTTATTACATTAAACTAATTATATCAACAATCAACGTTAATTAATTCTATTAATTCTGCGGCAGCATCGCGTGTAATGTAAACCCTCATCATTCGTAGGATGCTCGCCGTTAGCTACACGCACAATTTTTTTAAATGCCGTCTACCCCTACTTGCGATTAACTAATTGATTCTATCGCAGTTCAGGTGTGCGAAGTTGCAGAAATTAATTTATTGTATAAGAGGCGTGTATTTTCCGGCACAATACTCTCGTATACTTCCATCAATTATACTCTTCCGATATTAAAGTTCACACAATAAATGAGAGGTTCTTTAGAATCGACTCGTGTACTCAACTTCACAAATGAAAAAAAGAAATATCTACCGTTTGGAGATTACACAATAGAAAATTAACTAGGGGGAGTTGCCTTGGATGTTTTGCAAATGTTCCGCTTAATCAATAATATGACTTCGTGCAATGTTGGGTTTCGTTTTTGCAATGAGCAGATGTTGCAGAATTTGAAACTTTAACGATGTATATTAGCCTCGGACTCAGAGGACAAGAGGAAGTACTTGAGAAGGCGAAAGTGGAGACATATAAGTACTAATGAAATCCCAAATTGTAAGTGTTTCAGATCCGTTTAAAATCTTGGAATTGGTATGGACTTTAATGTACAGTTGAAATTCGACCATGTAAATGTCATTAATCATTTTTAAGGCCACCACCAATAATGTACAAGAACCCAAATTCCCTTAAATTTATTACAATTGTCAGGGCGATAAGATTTTTTATGAATGAATTTTTTTGTTCTTTCTTTTTCTTTACAGTTATGCTTATCTGAATTGTTTTTGATGGTATGAATTGGGCAAAACCTGGGAAAACATCAATGTGAACAACGTTTTTATTAGAACGGTTTCTAATAACCGATACGAATAATAAGTTATAATAAAAGACTACCTCCTTTAGTTAATTTGGTGGGAAAATAAATTTATTAGTTTAAAAGTTTTACTTTAACACTTCCCCTCAAACTTTAAACTCCCATTTATTTTACAATGTAAACTTCCCCAATTTTTCTCTAAGACGTTGGAATTGAATTTTTGGGATTGACTTCGTTAAAATATCCGCAGCCGCACCTTGATCTTCCCTTGTAACGTGTACAATGTTCATCTCCTCTCATTTTGAACTCGTTCCCGTACATCAATGTGTTTCGATCTCTTGTGGAAACTTCGGTTTCGAGCGAGTTTTATTGCGCTGATGCTGTCCACACGAAGTTGCTAGTGGTGCAATGTTGATACAAAGACGGCTTAGCTATACAATGTCTTTAGCTGCATCGCTGACTACCACATATTTCACCTCTGTGGTAGATAGAGAAACACTATTCTGCTTCCTGGTCACCCAAATAAAAGCACCTCCACAAAATTTGAAAACCAGGCCACAGACAGACCGTCTCGTATAATGGTCGCTTGCAAAATCCGCGTCACTGTATCCCTGCAAGTCGAGTGTCAACATCTTTGTAATGGATCCCCATTTCAGCCGTGCCCTTCAAATATTTCAGGATCCTTTTTACCATTGTCCAGTGTTTTTTTTGGTTCCTCTAGAAATTGTGAAACGTAATACACAGCAAACGTGATAACAGGACGAGTACATACTAAATACATTAGCCACGTTACTGCCTCTCGATAGGGGACTTCATTTCTTCCCTTGTTAATTGACATTATTTTTTCGATTGGCGTACTAACTGGTTGCTTCTGCCATTTAAAATTTTTCAATTACGTCATCAACGTACCGTTCTTGATTGAAGAAAATTGTTTCATCGTCGAGTTGGTTCATTTGAATGTTGAAAAAACATTCGACATCGACTATCTATAGATTCTTTTGTTGTGGCAGCAACGTCCACGTAAATAACGACTCTCCTGTAAACCAAATGAAATTAAAACATTCTTGAAACGTTCGTTCCAGCATCTGGGAGATTCTTTTAAACCATAAAAACTCAGGTGCAATTCACAAACAGGCCGACTTCCATCTTGATAACCTCCAGGTTGATCCACTTCGGAGGACAGAAATGCAGTTGAATGAATCAAAAGGGCTCCGGTGTTGTTTCCTTTCACACAAGCTCCGGAAAACTCTTCGTCCTCAATGAAATCGATTTTCTGGCTTTTCAAAATTTTCTTAACGTGTCGTTTGTTGTTTTCATGGCATTTTTGAAGTGTACTCCTAGTCGCCAGATTGGCCTCACTTACAGAATTTTCCGGCAATGTTATTTGGACCACCATCCTGAATAATTGACCCATGCGAACTCCCTCACGAGTGAATTCGCATCTTTTGCTCGAAGATCTGAACTTCATGGTTTTGTCCAACGCAGCCCTCACCGAAAAAAGATTTCTTGGGGGCCCTGACACAAAAAGAACAACTTTCCATATCCATGTTAAGAGTACTCTGGTTTTATAAAAAAAAAATGAGCTAGGGAGTTTTATATTATTCCTATTTTTGCCTTGGACTTGGCCTAAACTAGGATAATGAATAAATTAGAAAATCAAATATTTGGGATTAATCTTTATTTAATCCATTTTCAAATAGAATGGTAGACCATCTTGGCAAATTTATATTGACGACAAACTTGTCAACTTCGTTTCTAAATGCGATCTTTTTAACAAACATATTTCTCTTCGTATAGAAATTTCCACTGAAGAATATTTTCGCGTCCCAAATACGTACTTGCTTGGTGTTTTAGCAAATTGACTCACTAAGAACGTACAAAATTATTTTGTGGGCCTAGTTCATATTTCCGGCATTACGTCTAGTTTTTAGTTAGTATAGGATACAAAAATGATGAAAGCTTTTGTTTATATAAACACAAAAAAGCTCTACACACAGAGTAAAGCAATTAAGTACCTTCCAAGGCTAAATAATCTGAACTGATTAAGGGATTTTTAAATTTAAATTAAGCATCAGGAATTTTAATTCAAAATAAAGACTTGATGCTGTCAATTTCTAATTAAATCTTGCTGAGAACTTTGAGGATAATGTTTACAAACAAATACTAAAAACGAAAAAAAGTTTGCAAATCTAATTGAACTGAGGGTAGTGCGGAGCTACAATTAGTTTTCAGAAACTGATTTGACATTTAACTTTAATTACAAGATTACCTACAACTCGTAGTTAGTCATAATTTCAAGTTACAACTGGAGGTTTGTCTTAATTTTGAGTGGTAACTGAAAATTTAATTTTATTTCGAGCAGTAAACTTGAAATTGTAGGTATTTACTGCAGCTCGCTCTCCGCTTTCAAATTAGAATTTTCGTTGAACATCAATTCGATTGCACCTTAGGTTAATTGAATACGAAGGGACATAGATTGCAATATTTCAATATTAGACTCCGACTAGAGGTTATTAAGTTACGTGTACCAAGGTTTCTTGTTTCAATAGGAACAACTGAAAAATGATATCAACGTGGCGGTTGCTGATATACAAATAGTAATTTTTTACCCAAAATCGTCATGAAACTTTATTTTTTACATTGTGATGAAATTATCGGACTTTTTTAAACGAAAAATCGTATGGAAAGTGGTACTTTTTTTTCACGATTTTTACTATGCGTTTCCATGGAATTTAGTCTTGTCTATGAACGGTAGCATCCATTTTTGAGTGACAGTAATCGCGAATGTCAATCAAAATTATTCAATTGTGGGTTATTATGGATCATTATGCAAAAAAATTTCGTGTACAACACGTGTTGAAAGTGTCTTTTTTCCATGAATTTGCTTGATTAACTCGGGCTTCATCCTCATTAATCAAACTGCAAATTCATGAAAAAAAGTATCACTTTCATAACTAGTTGTACAAATAACTATTTCATGCCTACGTTATGTCAGGAAATTTTAGTTTCCATGACAGAGGCAGACAACGCTACTTTTCCTGCCGCACCTGTCATTGCTAATGACTCCTGTCATCACTGACAAATTGACATTAATCAAACGTTCTATATGAAAATTGAAATTTTATATTAAAATGAGATTTCGGAGAAAATTTAATACAGGACTCGTCAGTAAAATGAAACTACTTGACTCCGAAATTAAAGTAATGGACCTCACAAGGGACCTCGTACTTCAATGTTTCCTCGCCAGTATTGTGTCATTTTCCAATGATCCATTACTGGCGAGGAAATATTGAAGTATGAGGTCGCTTTGAGGTCGATTACTTTAAATTCCTAGTGAAGTCATGTAATTTTGCTAACGAGTTTTGTATTAAATTTACAGTCAACCTGGTACTACGTTCAGACTGTTATCCACTTCCCACTGTAGATAGATTGAAGATTGACCTGGATCAAGCCTTTACCCAGGTACCTACCAGGCGATGACGAAGTAGCGGACCTTCTCACTATCAACACTATCCTTGGCTTGTACCGCGTACATCGACTTCCTTTCCGAATTTCAGCGGCCTTCGGGATATTCCAGCGTCTCATGATAAACCTACTTAACGGCATTCCTGATGTCGTGGTCCTCTAAGATGAAGTACTTGTTTTCGGTCAGTATAATACGACTCGCGGCATACGGCTCATCACAGTTCTGGGAAAACTGCACTCAGCTGGACTGAAAATACGCCGCAACGAATACTCTTTCAGGGGCAGCTCCGTCGTTTTCTTGGGATACCTTGTCGACGCTGCCGACGTCCACCCACTCAAAGATAAGGCCGACACTATTCCAATTTCCCGGAACTGACCGATTTTTCCCAGATAAGGCAACGGGATTTGAAGCCTTTCACAAAAAATACGCCTTTTTAATGAACTTTCCACCACAAAGCCGCCGTCCAATACCTCAAAGAGATATTCTAACTTTCATCAGATCGTGTACTCCCTTTCTACGAGCCAGAGAAGCACCTTAGTTTGACCGTGGATGCCAGCGACTATGGAATAGCCGCTGTTCACCTGCAGGAGGGAGTCGACCATCCGTTCTGCACTTCAGCGAAATATATGCGACCGGAGAAAAAATCCCACTCCAGAAGAATATAGCC